TGTAGCCAAGCTGGTGGCCAACAATAGCCTCAACGCCACCAGGGCCGCTTTTCACGGAAGTCAAGACGTCAATGAGGAGAGGACCCCATTTGGTAGTCTTGCGGTGGATTTGCTCCAACACGGCGATTCGCTTGACCGATCGAGGAATGGCCTCGACAAGTCTAGAGCCAATCCAAGGTCGGTAGAGGCGGGGAGTAAGAATGGCGGTGTTGGCGAAGATCTCCTCAGGGCGGGCCTCGTCGATGGCTTGAGCGAAGGCACCGGCATCGGAACCGAATATGAAGAGGCAGTTCTCAGCATCAGGAGGGCCAGAATACTCGAAGGCGCTGTACTCCCGGCCAACTGATGCCTTGAGCTGAGCCCAGATACGTCCAGCTGACTTGTAAATATCCTCGGATGTAACCTGAGGGGGGGCAGTCTCGACGGTGGTGGCGACTGATGAAGGAGCAACAGGAGTGCTGGCCTCGCTATCTTGGCTGGACTTGACCGATGTTCCAGCTGAGGGAGCCTTGGAGGCGTTCGCGCTAGGGGGTACAGTGAGGTTTCCACTCGCGGCGGTACCATGATTCACTGCTGGCGCATCGTGATCTGAAGAAACGGCAATGTGGCCATCGTCCGCGTAGATTCCGGTCTGTGAAGAGGGAGCAGAGCCAGCCTGGAATCGGCGAACGCTCTCGATATCGAGAACGTCGCGAACAACGGCGGCATCCTCGATAGCAATAGGCTTGTCCTTTGACGATGTGGAAGGAGCAAAGAAGTGAACGACACCCTTACCAGTTCGGACAGCAAGGGCGTGAGCAGTCAGAGCCAAATCCTGGGCCTCCTGAAGGGTCTCAGACTGAACGAATGTGAATCCCGAGTTACGAACGGCGGTAATAACCGAGTAGTCGGGGAACGTCCGGGGCTGAAGAGAGACGTGAAGGACAACAGGGTAGTTGGCCAATTTGTATAGGTGTGAGACGGATGGGAGCAGGATGTTGGATGTGGTGGTGACTGAGACGAGCTTGCCAGCTCGGATGGGTGTGTATACTGAGAGAAGAGGATCCGTGTTGTGTCGTACGGGGATGATCTGGTTTGACGGTCAGCTATATTCAATTACGTGGTCCAATATCGCAATGGCTCGATTAGCGAACTCTATGCATAAACCATTCAATTCACATTCCTTTTCATAGGTTTATGAGTAGCAGTGGCTTATAGAGTCCTCCAAAAGAGATCGGGGATTTTTCGGAGACCATTTAGGAGGGGTAAATGGCCCTTGAGCAGACTAACCTCAGGAACTGTATCAGCACTCTGAGCGACCAAGCTGCTGTCCTTGCGGCTGGCGTATCGGTTCAGGTGAGAAGAGAATTCGGAGTCGGTGCCAATGGCGGGCTGGACAGAAACAACGACATCGCTGGAGAGGTAGGCAATTCGAGCCACTATGAGAAGCGCATTAGCAATCAATTTGTCTTGTTGCGGGGCAGGCAGGATTGATTGAGATTGAGAACTTCCTGTTCACTCTGACTTGCAGATGTTCCATCTGCGCGGACAAAGCTCAATTGCTTTGCAGAGTCGCAGGTTATCTCGAACTCATGCATCATCCCGGTACCGCCTCCAACGTCTAGCATAAAGAAAAACTCACCAGCCTCCTCAGGAGTCTTGATCTGGTGCTGTGAAGCAGCGTCCATTGTGTCGCTTTCCGTCGTCGTATTCGGCTCGTCGGGTATTATGATCGAGCTGTCTTTTAAACAGACAGAGCAGACAAAGCTGCTTGCGCTTCACTCGAAGAAGGGAGAGTGATGTATAAGAGGAAGATGGAGTAGAGAGATGGAGAGAAAGGAAAGAAATCTCAATGACGGACTCGCTCAACAAAGCAAGATCCGAGGATTGTGAGTGGTTTTCTTCCTTTTCTATAGAATTAGAAAAAGGTTTCTTCCCTCTGCTCAACGCTCAAAGGAAAGAGAAGAAGTTTGTAAACTGGAGCGAGCAGAGACACGCCCTTTTGCCTTAACTTTAGAGACGCCCCTCGTTCCGTCCGGTCTTGTCGTTTGGGTCCGGTCCCTCGGCTGTGCTTTTGCTCATTCGCACGTCTTATTTTTTCTTTTCCATTCGCCGATTTTTTCCCCGCGCCATTAATTTAGTTAGAAAAACAGCTGCAAATTCCATCCAGACGCCGCTCAATGGCCACAAGATTGGCTTGTATGAATCCTCGCCCTCGATTGCGTGATCGATTAGCGGGATGCTATGCCCCGGACGGCGGGGCTCAGTGCGTCCTGTCGACAGTTTGGGGGTGCTCTCTTAGGGTCGCGCCTTCCGCTGGAACAAGGACCAGTGCACGACTCCGCGCCCACCGATAGCGAATGAGGAGCTTTGGATTTGCTTCGAGCTGATGTTCAATTGGCCTGTTGTGCCTTATGTAATGCAATCAACCAATAAAGCTCCCCGCGCGAACACCGGCATTGGGCAGGAGATACGTACAGGGGTACATAGCGACCTGGACCCACCCCGAGTTCCTGCTGAGGGATGCTGTTGGGCCACCGACGGTCCGCGCAAGAATTACCAAAATGATGAGAGATTCTATTGTTGCGAAGAATTGCATGACCACCCCAGAAACGAAAAATCACTTGCGAATTACAGGGATCGCTCCGACTACCGGCCGGTGTCCGTATGTTTCTCATTTCTCCCAATGATATTAGGTCCTGAAGTTTCATGAGCTTACTTTACGATTTCATCATTCATATCTGAGGCGGAGGCAGTTGGTAATCCTGTCTGCCATGTTCACGACCTCACGATGTCTGAGGTCATGAATCGGAAAGAAAAGAGTCATTAAAGAAGCACAGGCATTAACCATCCATATCGGAAGATACCCTCTCGCTGCCTCCGTAGGCGGGAGTGTCCGAGCCCGGAGGCTAGTTATTTTATACTGAGGCTTACTGATTGATTAACTGCTCAAATGTGATTGGCCGGTCTATCCAATAACCATATCAAGATGAAAATAAACAGTGATGACAATAGCAGTTTGTGAAAGAACAGATCTTAGTATTCAATTTCATTGTCTAACCAAAGGTGTATTAGGTGCTAAGCTGCGTAGCAAGTATTATCATTATCCCAATATTTTGTACTCAATGCACCCAATTCATAACCCAGAACAACTCTAGCATATAAGAGAAGAACCTTGTGCTCATCGATCCATAATAGCCCAGTGTGGAATGACGAGATAATATCATGTGCCTCTCACGTCTTTCAGCATTGAACCGGGATCGTCCTATCGCGTAATCCGCTCTCAACATGTTGTGTCGGCTCATCCGCTCTGACAGCCCGCAGCGGCCGTTCAGAGGATCCACAACATGCCGCGATTTCGCCGCATATGCCGCACTTCCTCCGTGCCGGCCGAGTCTTCGGCATACTTTCCGTGTTAGACTGGACTTGACTTCATGCTTGTTTCCCCTTGGATCTTCAAGATGCCACATTCTTCCTAAACAAACTCCGTCTATCGTGTTGGTCCATTGACCATGAACATGCGAATTGCTGAACCTAAAACACCGGTCCTATGTTGCACCACGAAATGCAAAAAGAGAACATCCTCTCCCTCCCGGCCTGTCCGCTTATTATTCATCTCTGACTTCTAGCCCTGAGAATGATTCATCAGGGTCGCCCAGTGATTCGCGGTAGATTCCGTATGAAACGGTTTTAAACCTCGCCAGAGAGCGTGCCCGCTGAGACGGGCTTGTTGGGTCCTCCCAGATTGGGAGCCCATTCATCAGACTCCCGGGTGTCAAGCCAGTAAGCTCTGCCACATGATACCATCAAACGGCCAAGGCGTCCCCGGCGGCCCTCACCGTCAGGAAGATCCTCAGCGAAAGGACCTTCTTGGTCATCAACGCCAGGGCCTTCCAGAATCATCAGTTGCATATACTTTTGCAACACCTGCTGTGCATACGCCATGACGATGAAACTGAAATACACACGGATCAACGTCGCGCCAACAATCAGCAGCATGCTGGCAGCCGTTTCCTGAGGAACGACTTTTCCATGCATGGCAGCCTCCTTACGCAGGCCTTGCATACCCTCAGCCACAAAGTTAGGGAGATCTGTCTTCTTGGATTCGGTTGTCTCGCTCAGTTGAGTAGAGAAGTACCAATCCAGGCCAAAGGCTGCGGTGTATGCTGCATTGATAACGGTATCGATGATGTAAAGCCATGCGAGCGCCAAACATTCAAAAGGGCTTTGTCGCCGAACGTGAGGAATAAGAATCGCTAGTCCTACGAGAACCGCAATAGAGTAGACGTATGTTGAGAGCTGGAGGAGAGATAGCTGATATCCAGTAAGAATGGCCAGGAGTCCGTAAACGCCAGTGATCTTGTTGAAGACGAGAGCCAGGGCGATGAGTTCGACGCCGGTCTGGAGGCTGGTGATGCCGAAAAGGCTCTGCAAACACTTCAGTTAGCATTTGTTGACCTCATCGCCGTCCTCATGGGACGATATCAGGATCGAGTCGCGTGCTCCTCCTTACCTTAGGCCGGGGTACCCGGAGGGATCGAGTAAACCGAGACATGGCGGCGCGTTCTCTTGAAAATATGAGGTTTCCTTCCAGGACCTTTGGACTCAATGAACTATTCTTCGTCGTTTGTTGATATCGAGACTGAATAAGGAACGCGCAGGAGAAGACGAAATTACAGGGACAAATGAATGATGCAACCAGGGTCTGCCTCAAGAACTTGCGCCCGAGACTGCCGGTGTAATCTTAAATCACGTGGTAACCGACAAAGCTTGGCTGAATTAGAAACATGTCAGCCAATCATAATGCTGACTCATCATCTTAAATCTTTTGAGTTTTAGGTGGTGACAGCAAGCCATCACGTCACTTGCTGCAACCCCAAATCCGCCCCAAACCCGCCCAAGCTGTAGATAATCTTTCTGCGCTTGTGCTTGCCTCTTCTAGGTGAAGTGCGGTAGGTTTAGAAAAACCCAATTGGGTCTCTTGATCCCCCTCAGATATTCGTTTCGCTGGCCCGCTAAATCACAGCTCGTGATTCGCAAGACACGACAGAACATCTTCCTGATCTGACTTCCATCGAGTTGAGGTGACTGAGGGAAGTTAATCACATGTGATCCTTTCTGACTGCCCATTCGTGCCCTGGTAGATACCCTGACTTTCTATTTTGCCGTATTTTTCCAAGCTTGCTTATTGACTACCCTGGGTAAAAAGGGTCCATTTCGCTTCCTACATGAAGTGGCTTTCACATCTCTCCACTAGAAAGTCGCCGGCTCTGGTCGGAACTGCGTCTTTTCTTCCTACAAACTCTCTCATGAAACACTATATTATCCCGAAACCATCCATACTGTCCTCAGCTTCCACATATCATACTTTCCACTCAACTACAACGTTGGCTCCAGGTGCTAGGTTCTTCTCAACTCAATTACCCTACACTTCTCCACGATATCTCCCCACCACCCCTCGTCATCCGCACCGCGGGGTCCTGCACATCCCACCAACCCACATACGCAGCTATAAACAGACTCAAGGTCTCAGTCTCACTTACAGGTCCAATCCGAGAGCCATGTCTTCAGCAGCAAACCTAGTCGAATCGGCCAAGAAATTGGCCGCCTACCAGGCAGTCAATGACCACCTCGATGCTTCTTACAAGTTCGTCGGCATTGGTTCTGGCAGTACTGTTGTTTACGTTGTCGACGCCATTGTCAGCAAGGGTCCTGAGTTCTACAAGGAAATGACCTTTATTCCTACTGGAAGCCAGTCAAAGGGTCTCATTCGCGCTGCTGGTCTCAACCTTGTCAATCTTGATGAGAGACCTGTCGTGGATGGGCTTCCTGTTCCTCTTGATGTTGCCTTCGACGGCGCTGACGAGGTTGACGAGGATCTCAATCTTATCAAGGGTGGTGGTGCTTGTCTGTTCCAGGAGAAACTGGTAGCAATTGCTGCTAAGAAGTTCATTGCCGTCGCTGGTATGCACTGAGTGTTTTTGTTTCTGAAAAAATTGAAACAGACTGACAATTAACAGATTACCGAAAGCAATCTCCCAGATTATGTACCACCTGGAAGACCATTCCCATTGAGGTCCTTCCCCTATCTGCCCCTGATGTTTTGACCCGTCTTCGAGCAATGGGCTCAGCCAACCCTGTTGTCCGTTCAGGCCTCCCTAGCAAAGCTGGAGAATGCGTGACAGACAACGGTATGTGGCTTATCGACGCCCCATTTTCTCCCTTGCTTCTTCCCAAGGACATCAGGTCGGAAGGGGATGGTCGTGGAAAGGACGGTGCCTGGGAAGTTAATGCGCTCGCTGAGGAATTGGTTCGAACCCCTGGCATCGTTGAAATTGGACTGTTCCACGGCTTTAACGGCAGTGAAGCCGTGAAGCTGGGCAAGCAACTTCAAGCACAGAAGCCAATTGCTGCTTATTTCGGCCTCGCCAATGGTGAGGTGCAAGTACAAAATGCGGCTTGAACGGCTCAGAGTATAAACTGGGAACGGGGCATGGAAGATGCAACAGTTCTTGACGGATAATTGCCAAGCCCGATAAACAAAATGTGGAGAACAATCATAATGAAGTGAAGGGAACGGATCGTTAACCATATAATAAGATGTTCTGAAGCGGCATGGTTGATGAAAGTGTAACGGGATAGAAGCGAAATGATTGACCAGCACAAGCCAGTCGAATCAACATTAAAGTTTCTTATGTAACGATCGTAGGCTCGTAGTCCTGGTTGTATTATACAAGCTCCTGCACTCAGATCCACACGCTATGCTTGATATCCTATTTTGTGTACGAGGTAGCCAGGCTTCTTTCGCATCTTGAGTACGGCTTGCGTTTTCCCGGGCACTCCTGTACTCCAGTCCCGAATCGGTGTTGGCGCATTTAGCATGCGCAGCCTTCTTGCGACTGCTGCGAGTTGTTCGTCTTGACATCAATCACTAAGCATCGTGTTAGTTACCTTCGGAATTGCCGGGCATAAATACTCACTCTGATTAGAAGCTTGCGCCGCGGCATCGCTTCCCTCCATGCCAGGCAAGGCTTGTGCTATCCTCTTGAACAGGTTCTTGACGTTGTGGCCCAGCTTTGCGCTTGTCTCGACAAACATCAGGTTGTTCTTCTTTGCCTCCTCCTCTCCCTGCTGTGTGGTCACTTCCCGCTTGTCGTTCAAATCCGTCTTGTTTCCAACCAGCACAATGATAACATCGTTACCTCGCTCGGCTCGTACGTCGTCGATCCACTTCTTGGTGTTTTGAAATGACTTAGCGTCTATACGAAGAGCGGTGTTAGCACGACTCGTGCATAGCCACATTGACGGCGAGGGGGTAGCCGGGTAGTGGGGTCATCAGGGGCACATACTAGAGATGTCATAGACAACAACAGCTACGCTTGAATCGCGAATGTAAGAAGGAATCAAGCTTCGGAATCGTTCTTGTCCAGCAGTATCCCATAGCTGCAGTCGCACCGTGCGGTCCTCGAGGTACATGGTCTAAGTGGGCAGATGTTAGTGTGGCCTAGGAGTCGGCTGTCACGGTCCTGACCTTGGAGAGGAAATCAATGCCAATTGTCGCTTGATACATGTTGTCGAAAGAATCATACATGAATCGTGTGATTAAAGAGGTCTTCCCGACTGTTGTGATCGTTATTAGTGATTTTGATTCGGACGGTTCCGCAGTCGGACATCGACATACCGCTCTGTTCTCCTAGAAACACCAACCTGAACATCTGTTAGCTGAATGATTTAAACATAAATTCTCGATGTACACACTTGAACTTCTTCAAGGGGTTATTGTATGATCCGCCAGCTTGCGACATCTTTGCGGTCCTGTTGTCTCGTTCGGAGGCTTGTAAGGGACGGTGGATTTGACAGCTGTCAAGCTAATGGATATGAGGCCGTTGGAAAGGATGCGATCTCGGTTTCTTCAAGGTATAGGTTCTCTTTCTTGGCGACACAAGAAAAGAAAGAATAACAGAATGATGCGACCTCAGAGTGGCAATTTGTATCGTAGGATAAAAGGCTAATTACCAGCTGGAATCTGGAGAAAGGAGCGTCTAGATCCTGGATTTGGCAGGAGCATATGACATGGAGGCCACCCTGAACGAATCCGAGGAAGGTGCACGTGCCGATAAGAACATATCTCTCGCCGTCCATTACGGAGTCCCCATCAAGTCAAGCGCTTGATTGCTTTGCTTCTGTATTTTATATGGAGGTAGCGGGTCGAGACTCCCGGCTCCACTAAAAAATTAAGAAATCGGTCCCCCACCACTTCTATTGACAAGCAGCATTTTCGTTCTTCATTATCGACAACGCGATATCCTTTTCCAGAGAGGTCTCGCAAATATGCCAGTGTTACAATCCAAGAACGCCACGGGAGGTGATGCTCCAAAACAGTTCAACCAGCCTTCGCGAAAAGGAAAGAAGGCGTGGAGGAAAAATGTTGATGTTACCGAGGTGCAGAAGGGTCTTGAAGAATTGAACAAGGAGATTATCGCTGGGTGAGCTAAACTCTAAGCATTTCTTTCTCGCTCTGCTAATATCTCTATAGTGGTGTTATCAAGGAAAAGTCCTCTGAAGACTTGTTCACTCTCGATACTAAGGGCGATGCCGGTCTCCCCAAAAGGTTCAACAAGCACATCAAGAAGGGCCTCAAGGCTGACGAGATCATCAATGCCCGTTCTCCCGTGCCCGCCGTTTCCATGCGCAAGCGACCGGGCGACAAGACAACAAACGGAATTCTTCCTGTGAAGCGCCAAAGGACTGATTGGGTGTCACACAAGGAGCTCGCGCGACTAAAGCGAGTGGCCGATGGAGAACATCAGAACACTGTCCAAGTACAAGATGCCACCTATGATATCTGGGACATGCCTGTAGAGCCAAAGGCGAAGGATCCCGAAAACTTCTTGGAAGAGGAGGTCAAGCCCAAGGCTCCAAAGTCGATGAAGAAGGAGCCCCTTTCTTTGTTGGAGAGTGGCAAGCAAGTGCCTGCTGTCCTCAAGCCCACAGGAGGATACAGCTACAACCCTGATTTCAACGAGTACACACAACGTCTGGAAGAGGAGAGCGAGAAGGCTCTTGAAGCTGAGCGCAAACGTCTGGAGAAAGAGGAACAGGAGCGCATTAAGCAGGAGGCTGCAGCCCGATCAGCAGCTGAGGCGGAGGCCGCAGAGGCTCGTGCCAACCTTTCAGAGTGGGAGGAGGATTCCGAATGGGAAGGATTCCAGAGTGGTGCTGAAGATGATAAGCCATCCGCCAAGCGCCCACAGAGAAAGACCCAAGCTCAGCGCAATCGCATCAAGCGCCGCAAGGAAGAGGAGCGTCTCGCGAAACACAAGGCTGCCCTCAAGGCCCACCGTCGCCAAGCCCAGCGCATCCAGGAGATTGCCGAGGAGATTGAGGAGAGAGATCGCAACAAGGCACTTGTCTTGCAAAAAGACGACGAAACCGACCCTATTGATGAGCTTCGTGCCGAGAAGTTGCGCCGCAAGCAGCTCGGCAAGTACAAGCTTCCTGAACGCGATCTTGAGCTTGTCCTTCCAGATGAGCTCGAGAGTTCGCTGCGACGTCTCAAGCCTGAGGGCAACATGCTCCGGGACAGATACCGAAGCATGTTGGTGCGTGGCAAGGTAGAGAGCAGAAGGCATATTGCTTTCCACAAGCAGGCCAAGCGCAAGTTTACGGAGAAGTGGACATACAAGGACTTCATGATATAATAGAAGATAGATGGGCGTCTAGGTGTTTTAGGGAGAAAATAATATTTCGGCTTTTTCTGCGAAAAAAAGGCCCCAGAAGCGTAACTCATAGAGCATAACTCCATCATGCAAATTAGACTTGCGATTCCTCAGCAACATCGCGTCTACAAACGTGCTTTTCGCAAGTCCTGCTATGTCTCTATACTAAGCTCCAACGCCTCACTCAAGGTCTAAAGAAATGACAAATATTAAGCATTCATAAGAATAGATTTAGAAACTCATTAAATCTGTTTATTGTCAGAGATGTTCGTGAAAATGGGAAGGGATACAAACCTCGTCCAAAAAGACCTCGCTTGGTCCAGTCCATAGCCATCAATAGTCGTGTTCGCAGACTCACGCTCTGGGCAAAGTAGACAGAGCGCCAAGCGTAAACAGCCCAGAGACCACCAGCCAAGCTTCGACCCTCACCAAGATCAAAGATGGCAGAGTTGCCAACATAAGCGAGACTGCCTAGGTGCTTATATTCAAAGGCCTTGTAAACAGCAGCATCAACATCACCCTCGCGAATGTCGTTGGCGTTCAGGCCCTCATGCATGCGTGCCATCTTGTTGAACTTGCGAGCAAGATATTGTCCTTGCTGATGAGCGCGCTGGGCAGTAGCAGGCAAGGATGTGAGCTTGTCGTCGACTTGTTTTAGCAATTGTGTCAACTCATCAAAGTCGAGTGTGCCGGATTTGTCCTTATCGAATTCCTTGAATAGCTTGTCCACGCGCTTGAGATGGTTGATAGACTGGGGGAATCGTCTCTTGACGTCCTCAGCAACACCTCGCCAGTCAGCGAAACTGAGCTGAAGTGTCTCAGGGTCCTTGCCACGCTTCCAGGCCAAGGATCGCAGGAAAGTGACGATGTGGTCGGCAACGTTGTTCTGGACTGTAGAACAATCTCCGATGGCGTATACATCGCCCAGGGGTGAGCCATTAAGACGAAGGTGGGTGTCAGTCTCCAGAGCATGTCGGTTTGTCTGAGATTTGCCCAGCTTAGCAGCCAGTGTTTGACAGAACTGGGTTTGCGAAACACCAGTCGACCAAAGGCAGAAGCCAATAGGCAGCTCCTTGGTGATCATTGTGCCATCTTCTTGTTTCTGTGTGAAGATGATCTTGTCGGGGAGAACCTCCTTGACACGAGAGTTGGTGAGGACGTCAACTTGGTCGCGAGCAAAGCGTTCCTCAGCATATCGTGAAACAGTCTCATCGTATGTGTTCAGAATGTGTCCACGGCTTTGGATAAGATGGACTGAGATCTCATTACGTAGAAGTCGGGGGAAGTGCCTCGTCAAATCCTCGTTGAGAAGGTCAAAAAGCTCAGCAGCGAACTCGACACCTGTAGGGCCACCACCACTGACACAGAAGGAAAGTAGACGCTTTCGTTCCTCATCCGGGCATGTAGGCAAGTTGGCCAACTCGAAGTTTTGTATGACCTGGTTTCGAATCATGCGTGCGTCATTGATATCCTTAAGGAAGTAGGCATTTTCCAGACCCTTGACACCGTGAGGGTTGGTTGTCGAACCGACAGCAACGACAAGCTTATCGTATGGCACATAGAATCTGATATCTTTGCCGTTTGCGTCAACTTGCGACACTTCCACCATCTTGTGCGAAAAGTCGATATCCTCAGCCTTGGCGCGAATGAAGTGACCGTTAACCCGGCTCAGAATTCGTCGAATAGGCTCAACAAGAGATCGCAACTCGAGAGTACCTACTGTAGCTGAGGGAAGCATAGGGGTGAAGAGGAAGTAATTGGTTGGCGAAATAACAGTAACATGGTAATCGTCTGGATTCAGCTCTTTGAGGAGCGCAACACCTCCCCATCCGCCACCAAGAATCACCAGTCGTGGCTTGTCTTTGAGGCGACGCTTCTCCTCCGAGTCGTCATCATCAATGAATACCTCGGCGATTGGCAGGTTCTTTTCACCACCACTGCGAGGCTGAAGGGCAATCTTTGAGACATCGATATCGCTCTGAGTGGGGTGCTCGAAATATGTGCTGGCATCGTAGATGAAGAAGCCAACAATACCAACGCCGATAACTGATATTGAAATACCAACCCAAGCTGCTAGGCGGTAGCAAAAATTAAGGGCTCTAGACTTTCCTTGGGGAAGTGGCTTTCCTGATAGAGCGCGCACGAAGAACTGGGAGGGTAGTTGGCGGGTGGTTCGGCTAGTTGCTGGAGAGCCCTTTGTGATTGATGGCGAAACCCCTGTGAGCTTGACGAAGCTTCGCGATTGCGACGAGTATATTGGGCGAGGAGCGAGAGATGGTTTGAAGCATCGAGAGCTGGTAATGGCCCTGTTTTGACCGGCGCGAGCCAGTCGCGCGGCCATCATGGAAGAGACGGGCATTATTTTGCGGAATTGGGGGGATGTTCGACGTCAATGATAAGCCCACGAGGTCAAAGAAAACGGTTGGTACTTTCTAGATCATGACACGAGCAGAAGCACAGAATGTTAGTGAGAGAACACTCAATGGATGATGCAAGAAGAGAACGAGAGTGAAGCAGAGAAAAAAGAGTCTTCTAGTTTCGATTGTATTGTGTAATGCATGCATCTAAAAAAGGATCTTCCCGTTTACGGAGCTCAACCAGGGATGAACTGGGCTGCAAGACTGGACATGGGGTTGCAGCTGAGACTTCCAGAGGTAGTACCTACAGTACGGTACAGCTACGTCATTACCAGAGCTCCCCTTCATCACCACCAATTTCTTGGCGATCCATGACAACCGAAGATCGGCGACTCCACTACCGTACAGCATATCGCACTTCAAACATCAATATCTCATTTTCCATCGTCATTGAATCATAGGCCACACATAGACAAACCCATGTACTCATTTGAAGCCATATCGACCCCTCGGATACGTCGGCCGCCATGCCATGACTTTGGCTGGTTTGCGTCAAATATCACACAGTGGCTCCTCTTTTTTCCAAGTATCCTGTTGGTTTCGGACGTCCCGTTTCGTGGATCCTAGTCGTGGATCAGTTACGTTACAGATGCTGATGAGATGCCAATTGTGGTGGATCTCAAGATTGTGAAGAGCTGACGCAGCAACCAAACGCAGCGCTGTTCGCATATTTGCTTCCTTTACGGATATAATTACCGGGCATTCCGATAATCCTTATCGTGAATCTTGATTTGACTACCACTATCACTGCGTTGTTTCCAAGCTTCCGCCATCATATATCATGACAAACGTATACTATATATAAGAGTGGTCCTTCAGCAGCGGAAATACCTCTTCTCGACCCATCGTTCTTGTTGGTAGTCGAGCATGTTGCAAACCACGACTGTAATCTCTGGGAAAACGGATGTCAATCTGTGAAGTCCAACCTTGCCGGCCGAGTATGTTGCTAGAACAATACGATCCTGTTTCACGCCGTGATCGACCAGGACTTGCACCGCCATCAACGCTGCACCTCCAGTAGCCATCTGGGTGTCCAGAAGTAGGACGCTTTCTTGGTCTGCAATATCGTCAGGTAGTCGCAAGTAATGAAGTTCCGGCTCTCCCGTGGAATAGTCGGATTGGATAAGAAGACGGCCCGTTCGGCAATCGGGAATAGTCTTTCGAAGCGCCGGCTCAAACGCTGATCCTCCTCGGAGTACAATAACGGCGCAGACCTCACCCGTTGATACAAGACCCTTGTATTCGTATCCTTGGGGTGTTACAATATTCTTGGCCTCGAAATGGGCATTGTTGAGGGCCCTATGAAGTGTTAGCGAACAAACAGTCTCTCACACTCACAGCCTCTCAGTCTCTTACTGTTCAATAATCAGACTAGCAAGCCTGTCAAAGTAGAAGATGAAATCCTCAGGATCTGTGTCAATATCCTGAAGGATGGTGTTCATGAATTTGAGCTGTCGTGTATCATCCAAGACCACGACCCGTTCAGAAAGCGGTGAATCCTTACTTGCTGCTTCCAGACGGGACAGTGCCTCTCGGTGATGTCTTGATTTCTCGAACAGCTTCTTCTCGACAAACTGAACCATCATTTCTACGAACATGAGCGTTTTAGTCGGGTTTTCAAGGTCTTGTGACTACTCACCAAGGGCAACTCTGTTCTCGATTCCTCGCGGTACGATCAAATCAGCAACCTTCCGTTGGGGCTCGACGAACTTGAAGTTGTCAATTAGCCTTCGTAAGAAATCCTCTGTTTCTGATACGGGGAGCTTACCTTCTCAAAGTTTGGCTTGACAAATCCAAACCACTGCTTGATGATACCCTCGATATCCCGCCCACGCTCGCGTACATCACGGACAACTACACCAACCTGGTCAGAAATCCTTCCATAGGTCTTCGTAACGTCAAGACTCACGTCTCCTTGACAGGCAAGTATCTGCATCTGCCTCACAATAGATCTAAGTTCAGTGTTAGGTCCAAATCATACGCTTCAATAGGGCATCGGTTTTAACATACACCCATATCAAGCAGTTCAAGCACTCGAGGGTCGTAAAGCGCAAAAATACCCTCTAGGACAAGTACATGAGGCGAGTAGATGGATGTTGTACGGTCCAATCGAGAATGTTTGGCGAATGAATAAACAGGAATTTCAGCCCGTTTTCTGTGAGTATGGTGAGACGTCAGTGAGGTGTAAATCCCAAAGCCATCGTCAACTACACATACCCAGCCTTAAGATCCCGTAGCTTATCGACCAGAACATCGAAATCGATGGCCTATAAGAATAGCATCAGTTGTTATTCTGGCAGTTCATACTATGTCACAGGAAGCATACGTCAGGCGAGTCGAAGTCATATTCGTTGGCGAAGGCCAGTTTAGACTGCTCGGGTGTCAAGGTCTTATAAAAAGAGTCCTGTTATATATGAGCTTATGTTCGAAGGATAGTTTCAGGGATTCATGCCATTGACAAAATAACGACCCAGGGTAGGTTCAACTTCTTGACGATAGCCTGGGACAAGGTCGATTTGCCCGAACCTGAGCTGCCCGCGACGCCGATAATGCTGACATCGGCCCAAGGAGGTGAATAGTAAGCTCGCTTCTGAACCGTGACATGACTCTCGAGCCCGCCGTTGACTTCAAGGATTGCAGAGGCGGACATTGCGGTGGGCTAGTTCTCGATGAGGTCACCGTCACCTAAGATTTGGGGCGAAGAGGACGAGGATCGGATGAACGAAAGGCGAGAATATTTGGTAGCTGGAGGACTCAAACTTTCCTCTCCGAAAACTAGCCCTGCAATGTCCACGAGCTGTACGAGTATGGTGCCTTCAAAGTTTCGACTCGAGGGTTTGGCTTGCCCGTTGTTGGTGGAGCAGTGAGCACGGTCCTGTCGCGTGTGTGATCCACAGAGGGCCAAGAAGAAGCGGGACAGCAGTGAGAGCTTCAGTGATGAGATGAGCTATTGCTAGCAGTTGTAGCTATAGGTCAGAGGAAGAGGTGAGAGTGAGAGTGATAGTAGATATATAGATATACTTTGGTGGTTGAGTTAGAAAGCAAAAGTGTAAGAAGATAAATCAGCTCAGCCCTGGCCCTGCTCATGTTTTGACGATCGACCTGACCTCGTCAGGGTTCTCCTCATGCCGTATCTGTGTCTATCGAAAGACGGCGAAGGCCGAAGGCGCATTGCATTCTCCGCACGATCAAAAGAGATAAGCTACTGTAACTAAGTCTAGCCCTGTTCTACTGTAGGTATCACGCCTCTAGCTCGATCATGGTGACCTTGTTGCATGTAATCTGTGGCTTGGCTCATGACATTGATCTCATGAGTTAGGGTACCATGACCATCGTTGATGCTCGGATTAGAGCTCATTAGCTATATTATACCCGAAGGACTATAGCTGAAATATCGAATTGACACCTGAAATTGTCATTAGGGTCATATCATGGATGTTATTGCACAGCCCAAATCGATTCATCGAGAGCAATGGCATAGCCGCGGCATACAACGGAGCTCATTTTCAGGGACCTTACCTTGATTTGGCGGGGCTGTCATTGATGGAGACCTGAGGCAGACAGGACAGAGCTCAGTGGAGCTTTTCGCTGACATGATTGGCTCTCAAGCCCAGTTATGAGGCTACGGGCTTTGGACCCACGAACACGGCGCTACTTTTCCTCCAGCCCCCAATCATATTTTCTTCTCCTCCATCTTCCGTCAACCTCTTCTCTTTTTTCTTTTCTTCTTTCTTCTTTACATCGTTCGGAGTAAACACAGAAAGTTTTCCTACGAGTAGCATACAGATCACGAGCCTGGATTGTGGCCTGATTCTCGATGCGCTGAATCGCCTACTTCCGGCTATTGCTTCTATACTGTGCCGTCGATTAACCCTTCTCCGTTCAAGCTTCGACTCGCAGCGATATTCGTGCTGGGATCATTAGACAAAATGGTGAGCTTTGTTGTCGACAAGCCGAGCTTCAGCCCAAGCTTTGTATAGCTGGGCGCTGACTCGAGAATCAGACGTCATCTGCTTCTACAGCTACTCCCGTCAAGCATGCCTTTGACCGGCGTGTTCACGACGTCAAGTCTCCCAAAAGGTACGATACTCTTCCCCTCCAGCCATGTCACCTACCTTGGTGAAGTGATGAACGCACTATCAATGGGAATCTCTCCTAGCATATAATGCGGAAACACGATATCAATCTTCTTTTTCTGAACCCACCATTCAATACATCTCGTTGTTGCACGCACTTTCATGTCAGCAGTTGCTAACGATCTTTGAAGTGATATCAACGCTCTAATACTGGACTATCTTACTATGGAAGGGTATCCGAATGCGGCAGCAAACTTTTCTAAGGAAGCCAATCTCGAACCTCACCAGGACACGCAGTACATTATAGCGAGGCAGGAGATCCAGAACTGCATCCATAGTGGTGATATTAAGACGGCAATAACGACACTCAATGAGTTTGACCCACAGGTATGCATTTCCAGTTCCTTGTACCCAAGTTTTATATGATTAGAACACGAGTTTTACATGCACCACTCATAGAGCCTTCGGGCCTTTGATGAGGAACAACCACTTTTTATGATTATCTTTCTTCTCACTTCTTAGTTTCATAAATTTGGAATGTATTGTCGCTAACTCGACATAAAGATTCTAGATGGAGATAAGGCACTGCATTTTACCCTGCTACGACTTCAACTCATAGAACTCATTCGCGCTTGTAATGCGACTGGAGATATTCAACCAGCCCTCACTTTCGCTACTGAGGAACTGGGCCCCAAAGCACCCACGAACCCCAAGTTTCTGGAAGACTTGGAGAGGACCATGGCACTGCTCTTGATTCCATCTGACGCGCGCGAGCCCCAGTTAGCAGCGTTGCTAGAGCCAGAGTTGCGACGAGAAGTTGCAGACAGCGTAAACCGGGCCATCCTTGAAAGACAATCCCGAAGACGTGAAGCAGCTATTCGCCAGCTCGTCAGAATGCGTGTCTGGGCCGAAAATACTGCCCGAGATAAGCGTAAAAACTTACCTGACCGACTGGATATTGGCTTGAACGGAGAAGAACCCGACAGCCCTAGACCTCACACCGGAAACGGACATGACCCCATGATTACAACGTGATATTGATACCCGACCTGGAGGCATGTTCAAAGAGTAGTATTTTTGATTGTGTGGCGCTGTTCTTTGTCCAAGTAGCGCTTGGCGTTTGGGATAATATTGACATCCTAATGGTAAGGATTAAGACTAAGACAAAGGCTGGCTGTCGGGCGTTCTGAAAAGGCTGTCATAAATAGGCTGTAGACCTCGACAGCATCCTAGAGGCAAGGTTAATCATTCACTCATCATACATGGCAGTTCACGCGTGACATTGCCTAATGTTTCTTGTATTTGAAAGTTACTGAACTTAAATGAGCCTTTATAACATATTTACATAGAGCCGGGCTGTCCGAGCCATCTATTTCGTCCTGATGTGCTTAAGCTTCCTGGCAGAGTACAGGAAGTTGTTGGCATAAGCCTTAGGTGCAAACTTGCGAGAGTTGGGCTCCTGAACAAAGTACTCGTAACCCTGCTTCTCAGCAAAGTGAATAGCATCCTCCTTGCTCGAGAAGTTGATGTGGGTGCCTTGCATAAAATCACCCGAAGATTGCCAACCGATCAAAGGGTTCTCCCATCGATGTCCCTTGGGAAGAATATCCCAATCCATTCGCCAGCGTCGACCGCGCCAGTCGCCGGACTGAGTCGCAGGCTTAGCTTCCTGGTAGATGCTGTAGTAATTGTTAGTTCCTGAAACTTTCGACGACATTCGAGTCATGCATGTGGGCAGACGAACCGAACCGTTCGGGCCTGGAGCTCCATGGGAGCGCCTGAGATCACAGCAGCGGGAAGGATCTCTTCGCTGCCATTCTGGACGGATCGAGGGACAGGTGTGTAGGTGCTGGCATTAAGTCAGCACTGGTATTCCATCTTTCCAATTTTCAATCGCGTTTCGAGGAATCGTACGAGGTAGCCTTGTCAGCCTCGATATTGTAGTCGGGCTCGCTGGTAACAGGGCCAGTGATGGTGCCGCTGGCCTGAGTGACGTTGCTCTGGAATCGTCGGGGTGCGGCGGAGAGGGCGACTCTGGGCGCAGCAGCGCTTCGCAGCATACGAGCCGCACTCTGAGATCGGAGGGCGGCCATGGTGCAAGGCGGTAGCTTTCAATTGGCGATAAGGGCTTGTCGTTTCTGAAGTGAGTGATGGTGGACTGCGGCGATATTCTGAGGTTGAAGCAAGCTTGAACGGCGTGGCCCTGATTGGGTGGAGCGGATCAGTTGTTTTGCCGAAGTCGCGGAACGAGTGCTTTTCGGCAAGAACCTGACCTGGGCGGGACCGTTCATCTCGACAGAACCTCAAACTCCAGCCCTTGCAATTGAGCGTCACGCAGACCCTCGACGGACCAATTCTCGAGACTCGAACCCCCCCGAAATACCGACATCATGAGCTTCGTCACCCGCCGAGCGCTCTCGACGCTCATCCCCCCCAAGGTCAGAGAGAGCCCCTTCGGTTATGGGCGCAAACCCCCGGTGCTCCGATTGATTCCGTTACTAACACCAGATTTTCAAAAACAGGTCGCTTCTCCTAAGGTACGCAGAATACGATGAAATTATTATCCTATGGAGCTTCGTTTTCGATCTCGACGAGTTTTGGATGGATGAGGACTTTTATGGACGATCGACAATGGAGGGAAATTTCGTCATGATGGAAATTCAGAAGGCTGACAGAACTCGATCCACCACAGGCCATTGGCGCTGCTCCTGATGCTATCCGCATGCAGCGTGTCGTCAGCTTCTACGAGAAGCTCCCCCGAGGTGCCGCCCCCGAGGTCAAGGCTAAGGGTCTCCTCGGCCGATACCAGGCCAAGCACTTCGGCAAGAACCCCACTGGCAAGCGTACGGACACCCTCTCTCAAGATTGGATTTAAATGTTGGATTCTGACAGTGATTGTGTTATAGCTATCATTCACCTGATTGTCTTCCTTGTCAGCATCGGTTACGTCCAGAACTACTACTTCCACCTTCGTAAGTATCCCTATCACAGGGTTGAAGGGGAGCTGTTTGCTAATGCTGGAATCATCTAGGCCACCACAAGAACAACGCTCACTAAGCAGCTTAAAATGGCGTTTAGATACCTTAGATGGATCATTGTGTGAGAGGGAGCGGGGGTCGTGTACATATAAACTCCGGAAACTTCGCGGTCGAGCACGCGCCTTGGCTTCCCTATGTATCTCTAACAAGCAAGTGATGTGACAATGCCATCACGTTTTTGGTTATGCGCTGTTCTTTGGTTCTACGTAGTGCTGTGCCTTCGGAGCGGAAGCTTTCTGTGTATCCATACCTCTGTCAGAATTGTAAGCTTTTTGGGTGGTACTGCATTCTCAAGCTCTTCCGCATTCTGCACAAAGAGACCGACCGATATTTGAGTTGCTAAATTTTGCACGTCAAGAATTCCTCTTGGCTTTCCTTCAGGTTGATCAAGTCTGCACAAGCTGTGATACTGTAGTGTACACGCTAATCACTTTCAACATATCATGTTATGGTGTAGACTCAGCCGGTCATCGGAGTAAGCATAAATCCAGTCTTGACAAGGTATAGACGTATGTATACTCAGTTAATTACCTAAGTGAATGAGTTGGTCTGGACAATGAAAAATATAACATGACGTTAAACTGCATTGTTTGCAGGATGTGAGGTGTCACCAAAGGAAGCCAATTAGACACCTAGTGTACGTACCAAAACCTATTACAGAGGATGCACTGCTCGCCTTATTGACCTATTTTCATGCAACAGCAAATGCTTAATGACATCTAGTGATATTGAATGACTCTCATGAATATTGCTATCAGGTTCCTTGCATCCAAAATTAGATGAGATCAGACCCTTTCTGATCAGCTGAGTGGCCGGTAGAGTCATTCGGCTCCACGATGACAAGCCATTTGATGATACCCCTAAGCTCCAGGGCGTACCGGCCTTGTAGCTGGTAGCCAACAGCTGGAATTGGTCCCGGCAGCCCTGCTACTGGCAGTCAGGGGCCGGGTACGGATGGCCAATCCCAGCCCCTTATCGTTTGGCTGCTAAGCCTAACCCAGCCTCCAGCATCACTTTCGGGTCTGTCTGTCTGGCCTTCCACATCACAAACACCAGTGCATCAGCCGCAGTTACTCCGGGTACATTGAAACCTCACCTTACACCTCGCAACTGACACGCCTTGCAGTTTGGTGATTTCTCCTCCTCATATCCCACCCCCGACTCTTGGATTGAGCATCGTATCAAATACCTCGCAATCGGACGAACGAAGATCGCCTTTCTATACCCGTAACATCCTCCGATCCCCACTACCGATACTCGTGCCCTCCCCGCCCCGCGGTGTCGCAACTGATCCCGACTTCGAGATCCGACGTTTCGTCTGCCTCTAAACTCTAGTCCGACCAGAAATCGACGAGACTAGGCGGAGAAACTCATCAAGAGGGCTTCTTTTGCTTACCCCACGACCGGCGCATTCTTACCACGTATGATGGCAACAGAGGCTGCCGTTGATAAAGCTGCCGATGCCACTGCCTCTCAGTCCCAGCCTGTATGTTTCATCTTCCCTGCTTTGCGAAAGTAAACTTCCAACCGTTTTGTTTTTGGCGAAATTGGCACACTGCGGCCTTTTTCGTTACCTGTTCGAACCTAGAGCTTCAGTTAGCCGAGCTGCTGTAGCTAGCCTTACTAACAGACTTTCTCATGAACTTAGTCGCCCGACGCCGAAAATGTCGACTCCGTCCGCTCGAATTTGAATGGCAGTGCCGGCAACGATGACTACGAAAACAAGCACATTACAAGCGTCGAAGATCAACTCACCTCCGCCGATGCTAGTGCCAGCGGAGGTTCAGATACAGAGGCATCACGCGCAGATGCTTCAAAGACGAAGGATGGAGAGAAAGTTCATGGCCGCGCAGGCTCCACAGTCAAGAAGCCTGCCTTCAAGGCTGTCTCGGTCAATAAAACATTCCTCGCAGCAAAGGCGACTGCCAACAGTGCTGCGACCAAGGCCGCCGAGAAACAGCCTGCCGGTTCCAGTACGCCCCCGACGACATCGGCAACCTTATCCTCTTCAAGACCTCGCCTTATAGCAAAGACCGGTAGCAGCACTCGCGATTCATCGCCTCGATTTTCTGGTGGTGTGAATGGGGGAAAGCCCGGTAGTGCACCTGATGCAAATGCAGTTTGGAACAAAAACCGACGTACGTGCAACATCCTGAATCAGCCGACTTAATGAACTAACGAAATTGTAGCTGTGCCGCCGCCTGAACCCAAAAAGTTCACCGATGAGGAGCTCAAGAAGTATGGAATCCACATGGCCAGTCGTTTGAACGAAGATGATGCACAGGGGCAAAACAAATGGGCAGACATCGACGACGACGATGAAGACTGGGCCCCTGAAGCTATTACTTGGGGAGATGGCACGAAGACGACGCTCCCTCACCCAGACGAGCATCCACCACCGCCATCAGACAGTGGTTCTGTTGCGTCCAAGGGCAAACTCCTCGATAAACCACGGTCTCCAGCTCCACCTGTTGCTGTGAGCTCCCCCCTGACGAAGTCGAGTAATCTGGCCCAGGGCAAGGGTTTGATTTTGAAGAGTGGCTCCCAGGAAAAACCAACTCTTGTTGCCAAACCTCCAGCTCCCCCGGCACCTGTCAAGTCCCCGTGGGCGCCTCTACCTCCGGTCGAGAAGGCTTCACCTATTCCAGAACAGGCCAGTCTTGCTAGACCGCCACATAATAAGGGCATGACTCCGCCGCCTCCAAAAGAATTTGCGGCGGATGATTTCAATCGTTGGAGAGACAGTTCATCTCACGGAGGCCGGGAATTGTTTAACTCCCATTCTGGCCGCTACGAACCTGTACACGACAATCGACGTGGTTCGATGAGAATGGAACAGCATCCAAGGCATCATCCTTCCCTATTACAGCGACCACCCCAACCGGATTATCCAGCTGAACCCTCGGGTGCTTTCCAGACCAATAGAGTTTCTCAGGAACCTCCTTTCGCTAGAAGACGAGGATCATCTAATGTTAGTGGCGGAAGCGGCTCATTTATGCAGCGTATGAATAAGGGAGGTGAAGTGCCCCTGCCCCCTCACGAATTACAGGAAGGCCGTAGACCGTCTTTCGTTGGTTCCGTTGATGGCCTCGTCTCCCCCAATCTTTCAGCCTCAGCGCATGGCCCACCAAGGGGGCAACATCATTCTAGCTGGATGCCTCCTCGAGGTTCTCCAAATCCTGCCTTTGCGCAACCACACCACCCTGCACCTCTTCCTGAGCAAGTTGCCGGTCCACCCCCTCCCCTTCAACCTGCTAGCGAAGAGGTCGAATATCAGAAGAAGCTCATGCGAGAACGTGTCGAGTTAGCTAGGAAACGACGCCAAGAAGAAGAAGCCCGTGAGGAAGCTGAACGTCGGGAGCGCATTCAGAAAAAGTTGGATGCTATGGGGCCTGCGCCAGAGAAGAAGACCGAGAAGAAGGAGCCCGCAGAGAAGTCTGACGATGCTTCACACCCAACACATATTCAACAACGTGACCATAGTAGCGCGGCAAACCAAACTCCTACACAATTGCAGCAGGATGGTGACCACTCTGCAACAGCTTCGTCAGCTCGACAGCAACCTCAAGATTCTGATGCTAAAGTTGGACACACTCAGGGCACAGCGCCAGCGGCGAGGCGTGTATCTCACAGCCAAGAAGCCAAGCCTAGTGAGCTTTGGGGGGCAGCTGCAGCATCACGCCAGGACAGAGCTGTGTCAAATTGGGGTACAGGTTCGCAGCCCCGAAGTAATGTTTGGGGGTCACCTAATAACGATCGAGGCCTCGGTAACGGCACATTTAACACCGATATCGGTCGTGCACCTCTGGATAATCGCCCTGGTTCTCAAGGAAACAAGGGGCCATCACCTATCGCCCCTCCCAATAATCCACGACAACCTTCTCAAGCCCGACCTCAACCCCCAGCCCCAATCGGTTCTGGACCTTCACGATACAGCTCCTCTGGTCCTCATCCTCCGGCAGGATCTGATGTGGCAAGCAAGTGGATTACTGCCGTCGGTGAAAAAGATAAACAACTGAGCGCTAGCCGATTAGCAGAGCGGGTTGAGCGCGATCGCCTACTTGCTGAACGTGGTGTTAGTCTTGAGGATGCCCAACCGGTCATCAAAGATACATGGCGCCAGGTTCATGCTCCCGGTGATGGTACAAGACGCGCTATTGGTCCTCAAGAAGCACAGCCAGCTGGCCCCTGGAGGAGCCCTGGTGATGATGCAAAGGAGGATCCTAATAACGTTGGAGTGGTGGGAGGCGGAGTGCCAGGCCAGGCCGGAGCTTCACAGAACCGCACATCTCGATTCTTCCCTACGAGAGACTCGCATGATAGAATCAACGAAAATGAGCCATCGCGATCCAAATCGCCAACCCCCCCGCCACCCACGATGGAAGGCCACCCAGCTTACGAGGGTGATGTTATGAAACCTCATGTGTCGCTTCCAAAGCCTCACCCTGTGGTGAAGCTACCCCCATCTATGGCGGCCTCACAACCTCCCCCAAATCGTGTACAGTTCGGCTGGGCGCACCCACCATCCTTCAAGGAAGTCGCTCGGGGCCCTGTGAGCCCCAATCGTGCACCATTGACGGCCGGGGAGTCTTCTCAAGAGAAGTGGCAGAACCGAATTAACAGTTTGCTTGGTAATAGTTCAAGATCTCCACCCCAAAGGTCAATTGGCGTCGACCCTGCAAGCAAGAGTGCTCTGGACCATGTTGCTCACCACGACTCAGCCACGGTTTCTCTACCTAGGAACAATGTTTCAGCTCCCGCCCGTTTTGACAAGAGCCTCTTGTCACCTGTCACCAAACCCATGGCCGAGGAATGTTTTGAAGAGCAAGAGATGGGGTCATTACCTCAAATTCGACTACCACACAAGGCCCCCGAAGCCGCTTGGCAGCCGGCATTAGCACCAAACAAGCCTCTGCCGAAGAAATTTGCAGTTCAGCCAACTGTTATGGAACCATACTACTTCTCTGCCGACGTTGTTGGCGGCGGCAATGTTATGAGAATCATGTTTCCTAATATGCAAGAAGCCAGAACTGTCACTATTCCTTTCTCAGCAACTCGAGGTGGTCGAGGTTTGCAAGGACGAGGTGGTCCCAGAAACCGGGGCTCTGGCTATGAACGTCGAGGAGGCAAGCGAGATGTGTCGAGCTCACGAGGAGAGCATCCCCCAACAAGCTCAGGTCGAGGAGGCCGTGGTAGCTACCGCGGTCGAGGTTCTGACTGGGGTCGCGCCCCAAGTAATCCTGCTTCTTTGGCTGCTTAGGAAAGCAAAGCAAGCTGGAGGAAACCGGCCGAGACACCGGCCTGACGCCATCCTCAGTCTATTACATAATACTCGCAGCGCATCTTGTGTTTATCGCTTTACCTGCTGATGCATTGGTCTCACCTCCCAGTACATAGCGACCCCCACCATTCCGATGTCCGTCTTCAGGATATCATGGAATGAGCTTCTACATAAATTGTCTGCACAGCCATATACTGCAGGCTTTCTCAACGTGCTAGCATTTGCTTCTTAAGCACATGTTAAACACGCTATACCTTTTTTCTGTTTTTTCTTCATCTCCCTTTATAACACTGGGGCTCTGTTTTGTCTTCATAAAAGCATACATGGCGGGCATTGCTTTTTGTGAAAATGATAGGATCGCCTGGAAGGGGGGACTTGACAGGCTCTTCAAGGGCCACATACAACCCAAACCAATTGAAACATGCGCCATGTTCTCGATGACAGGGGAAGGGAGGACGGCGTCTGAGTAACAAGTTCGATGACCTGCTTTACTTTGGGTCGGGACTGGGTTCGCGATAATCGAATGTGCTAGGTTTTTTCCCCTTCTTATTTTGTACTTCTTGTATGAAGGAACTGGATCAGATAAACCTGGAAATCAGAAACAGCCGCAACGGACTTATGGAGAGAGATCACTATGATGGGAACGATGAGCGTTTCTACGCCTTGACGAAATCAACGAGTGCGTACGAGGCTCTGTCAGACAGACGATTGATCAATCATACAAATTTCGCGAATTTTAAGTGCCTCAAGTGAATGTCCCTGGTATATCACTATATGGTGCTGATGATGTTGTGAGATGAGATGTAATCGCTACATGTATGCCACACTTATTTGCCATGTTGTTCATATAATGTTTGTACATTAATGGTATCTATCATATTCAACATCCTCGTAACAAGATCCCCTTCTAAAATTCCACTCATCCGATGATATACAGTCGCTCACAATAAGATGAAACAAGTCGACAATGTAGTATCACAAACTCCTAAAACGCCCGTCTTCCAAGGCGTTAAGTCATGACGTGCATATTAGCCTCCTTCCATTTATAATTTCTCGTTTGTTTTAGACAGATAATTAGACTTCCTCGACCGCACAGTTGGGGTGCACAATATACATAATTTGGGAGGGATCTGTTGAAGAGCTTGCGTCACCATCTGTGAGGCCTTCGCCGCGGAGAGCCATGAGGATGTTTTCCTGTAATTTCGAGTCAGTATAAGTCTTGGAAAGGGGAATGGATGTATGTTGCTTACCTTGACCATCTTTTTGAGCACCATGTTGGCGAGAGCTTTTTCTCGGTGATAATCGTCCTCACCTTGGAGCTCATCCTCCTTCTGCTCGAGGTACCAGTTGACCAATTCATCGCCGTTAACACCTTCGAGGTTACCGACCTCAGCATCGGTAATATGCTGAACAAACATGTTGACCATCTTGATGTAATTGTCGTATGTGATGGTTTGCTTCCTTCTTTCAGGGGCAACACTGCTACGGCCAGGCTGTGTGTCATCTTCCTCCATGACTGCGTCGTGTTCTTGGCCACGGCCGGAAGCAGCATCAGCGGCACGGAGAAGTGTCTCGCTATCTTCTTCGGGTTCTTCGTCGTACACCTCAACGTCATCGTGCTCCACGGAGATGATACTCTGTCGCAGGAGGTTGTAGGCCTCGACAACCATCTCAGAGCTAATCTCTTCCACACAGTTGACCTTGGCAATAGCCTCGGAGAGACGAATCATACTCTCGAGCTGACGGACTGTAATTCGGTACGAGTTTTTGCCCACGCCTCCTTGAGCATCGTCGGCGCGAAGTTCCTTGTACTTCTCCACGAGGACATCCTTGGCCTCGTCAGTGAACTCAGGTCGGAAAGTCTTTGCAAAACGAATGTATCGCTGAAGTTGTTCTGTGCTGAACTCGGGCTCAACAGCCTCGTCACGCAACTGGTGGATACCAACAATGTGCTCTGCCAAGTGGCGGTCGACTTGTTCGTTACACTCGTCGAGGACAACAAAGAAGAGGTCGAAACGAGACATGATAGGTGCCGACATGTTGATGTTGGAGCGGAGGGTCGTCTTGCGGTTGTAACGACCACCAACAGGGTTAGCAGCTGCAAGAATACTGGTTCGGGCATTCAGCGTGGCTTGAATACCGGCCTTTGCGATCGAGATGGTCTGCTGTTCCATAGCTTCGTGGATGGCGACTTGATCTGCGATATCCATCTTGTCGAACTCATCAATAGCGCAGACGCCATTGTCTGCCAACATGAGCGCACCAGCCTCGATAGTAAATTCGCCTGTCTCTTCATCCTTGACTACCGCAGCAGTAAGACCGGCGGCAGACGATGCCTTGCCACTGGTGTAAACAGCACGGGGCGCAAAAGAGCACACGTATTTCAAGAACTGGGACTTGGAAGTAGAAGGATCACCGACAATGCAAATGTTGATATCACCTCGAAGTTGCATACCCTCAGCCGTGCTCTTGGGGACACCAGACATGAGCTGGAGCAGCAGACCCTTCTTAACGACCTCATGGCCGTAGACCATGGGAGCAATAGATTGCACAAGACGGGAATAGATATGGTCACCGTGGACCATTGCTCGCAGGTCCTCAATTTCAGAGGGGTTCATGGACGCTAGAACAGCAGCTTGAGCATCTTCCACTGACTGCTCTCCCTCGTTGGCTGTGTTCTGTGTCAAAGCATTGACAACATCGGCAGCGCCACTGGCAGCCGACTGGCCAGATGTTGAAGTGTCTGGGTTCACCATGCAGGCAAGGAAGGCAAGACGATATGTCAAGTCTCGTACACCCAGAGCCTTGAGACCGCTGATTCCACTTCCACCAGCATCGGCTCCTCTAGGCGCATTACGGTCGTCACGGATAGCAGTCGGTCGCAATCCTGGAAGGCCGAGTTGGCTGACATCAGGAACGACGATCAGGGCACCAGTGAAGATGCACTTCTCTCCAGCCTTGGCGCGATCAACAATTTCACCACGCAGAATAACGTCCATAGTTCGAGGCATGCTGCCTGTAGGAATCTCGGAACTGTTCTCCTGAATTCGAACCTTCTGCCAATCGACGAAGGTACTGCGACGAATGTCAAGTTGCCAGGCCACACGGTTCTGGCATGTCGAGTTGGGGCATTGGGTAGGTTCTGTGTATCGAAAGGTCTGCTCAACATTTGGCACAACTGTGCGACAGGCCTCGCAGGTGAAAGTAGCGACAGACAACTCGGGACGGACTTCGGATGTCCGAGTGACTGTTCCAGAGATAGAAAGAAGCTGGCCAATGTTGGCGGCTCGAAGGGCACGGACTCTGGAAACTAGAGGCAAGTTGTAGAATGCGATAGAGAAGAGCTTGTCGGTTTGTTGGTGCTCATTCTTGCGGTGTGACGACTCGGATTGGCTGGCAGAGCCGAGATGACTGGCCGCAGAAGTCGTGAGATTGCTTGAGGCTGTGGGCTGGCGATGTTCGCGGAAGTACATAGGCTCGTACTTTGCAATCATGTTGTGTAAAGCAGCGGTGAGAAAGGGGAGGAATCGATAGTATTGGCGCATGACACCATCCGCCAAACTGCCATTCTCCCATGCAGCCAGATGTCTATAGTCGACGTAGAATGTCGAGAGCGAGTATGTGCGCATGCCTTTGATCTGGGCAACATAGTACTTGTCTGTAGTGACAGCGCTGGGTGTAGGCGCGCTTGGTGTTGGGGCACTGATAGGGTCCTCGGCAAAGCTATTTTTACACAGAACGGTTAGGCAACGTTCCATGTGTATAATGAGTCTACGTAGGTGCACTCACTTCTCGATGAAGGACTCAAAGTGTTCCTGAACCAGCAGGCCAATTCTGTCCTCAACACGACTGATCTCAGTAGAATTCGGGATCCTTGAGCTTCGTGGAACCTGATCATCCGCAAATCCATCACCCTCATCATCGCTTGGGGCACCCATATTCTCTGAAGGAGGCCCTCGTGGGCGTGCTGAGGAAGACGAGGGGAAACCCATATTGCGTCTAGGGGTCGGGGCAGCCCGCGAGGGGGCATCCGACATCATGAAGCCGGCATCGCTCGAGGGAGTAGCCATTGCGGCGCTTGAATTATAGTGATCGTCTGTACCGGTTTGACAGTTGACAAGTGACGATGCACGCAATGGTTTGGTTGACCGAGTCTTGATAGATGAATTGATTGTTGAATGTCGAGGGGAGATTTTAGTTGCCAGGGCAAAGGCACGGATGCTGTGTGGGGTTATCCCTGGCGCTTAAGCTTATTACAGGGCGACGCGTCAGAACACGTAGAGGGGCTAACTACGTGACGCGACTTTAATTGATTGCATCCGGAGTTGACCAATTGGCTCGCGCTATCCATGTATCATCATGAATTATCGCGATGATAGATAGAGATGATAATGAAGATATAATATATCTCTATATCTATAGGCTTTTGCGTTTAGAGTCTATATGATAGCAAAAATACCAAGTTCATCCAGATTCATGCCAATATCGTGGCCCATAGTCGAAGCAGCCATTCGTGTTACGAGACATCAAGGTATCAAGCGAGTATGGCGCAGACGTGATCTTAACAATGTATTTGAGCCTGTTGCATCATGAATACTAATACCATCTAGTATGTAACATCAGGTCTTGCCATGAAACTGCACCATTAAATCGGTAGGGCATGGCGTTGGGACACGAAATTCAAGGCGGTCTCCGAGCCAGTTGAAAATTGCTTGTCTTCTTCTCTTGCTTGTCATGATAAAAATACATGAAAAGCGAGGCTATTACATGTCATATATGTTTCAATGTAGAAGCAGTTGTGGTTATGCATTTCAGTCAAGTTTCCAGCTTGCCCATTTCCAGTTGTTATGATAGATTCAAAAGTCACTCTTGCTATTTATTATTGTTTGTCGGTGATCGCACAGCTCTAGATTAAAGGGCTTCGGCAAGCTACTGTATGGGTCACATGAAGGCTCTCGTAAGCACCTTCTCTAGACGCAAATATGAAGCGGAAAACTAGAAGAGATGGAAATGCTCCTCTTCCGATTTGCGTGGTCTAGGCTAGATGAAATTACTTGATGCATCTATATCTCGAAGACTGTGTTTCTATAGCATCGTGACGTATTCTACATGCTAAGGTAGGTTAAGATAAAAAGCATCCACAGCAAAATATGTTTCGCGACGGTAAATCTCCATCAGGCTATGGGTGCTTCGCTGCCTGCGCTCGCAAATGGTCTTCTGACTTGCCTACCATGCGCATACAACTGAGTCATGATCAACGGATCATATGCCAAAGCGGATAGCCAGCCCTTCATATCGTTTACCCAAAGCCATGGGTACTAGATCCTTTATTCGAATACCGATACGAATGGGCTCATACTTTCAGCTGCTTAATATAGGCAAAGAAACACAATGGTGTAGGAAATACAACCCGAGATCCACTCAGAATTCTCATTTGTAACTCAAACTCAAATCAAGGAGCAAGGTCGTCAAAGTTGAGTTACCGTTTGTCAAAAGTCCCTGACTCAACGTTCAAGCCAGGCGAAACCTAAATCATGTGTTCCGTCCCGTCCGGCCGTTGAGAGTTTCACAAGACGCTAGACCTCAAGAGATGCAACTCAGTATGCAATACACCGTCATAACATAATACAGTAGCAGTCTGATAGCAGACCGACCATCCGAAAATGATACACATTACATATCCAAGTGATCGACTGGTCATTGCTTATCATTAAGTAACCATACCTCCAGGCTCCGAATGCAACTCTTATGCAGGGACCTTGTGACACACCCGACTGGCACTCACTCGTACGCCCCAGTTGGAACGTCCACGCGCAATCTTAACACATGCCATTCGACAAGTATTTACTCCACCACCACTTGCCTAGTCAACGGTCGAGAATAATCGACTCTCCCAGAGCAACGATTCATTCATTTCCTGGCCTCGTATAGGCCCAGACCCAGCATTCTTTGCATCCCAATAATACCCCATGATGGCCTGGCAACCTCCGCGTGGGAATGTCGTGCAGATGTTACGTTCCCATGCCTTCAATATCCCTGGAATCGAATCACGCCAGTTTCAACACAACCACGTTAACTCATCTAAGATTATGATTATCCACTATCTAATGGTAACTTGCCCACAGAATCATGTCCATTCCTTTGCCCAGCCAGTATAAAACGCCATTCTACATAACCGATACCATGCTGAAGCCGACGAGGGAAGATTGAGATAGCCATACAGAACAAGGGCCATAGGAATGCACACAAGGGTATAATGCCTATTGATCAAAGTCCATCCAAACCATATTTCCCAGCAGCTAGGGTAAATCGACATAAATAATAACAGCCCATGTAAATCTCCTCTTGACATTCCATCGTAGTACCTCCATTCAACATTCCATTCGTGTCCATAATCCCAGTCACGCTATTCCGTCTATCCTATGTCCATCCAATCCAATCAGAACCAATCCAATGAGATCCTCTATGGTGTAGATACCTGAGAGAAAACGCAGTCCAATAGCAAAAAGAGAAATAAGAAAAAGATAAGCATGGAATAGGCGACAAGTCTATGCTACCATACATGGCCCATGTTAGTAAATGAGGTCACTGCCTCGATAAAGGTATGAAAGATAAAGAAATGCCATAGTGTGCCTATCAGGCCGAGAAAGCATGACTCGAGATTGACAAAAAGGCTCAAGCAGCATGAAGATGAAATAAGAAAGAATATAGAATATGACGCCTAGAAACGTCGTGCAAGCTTGGGCATTGAGTGTGTCGCGCTAGCGTAGTGTCGTATTGTGTAGGTGGCGTATGGCGTCGATGGTGCGGTGCGGCGTTGCGTGATTGGTTTGGCGGCCAGAGGCCTACAGCTGATCCCTGCTTTGCGCTGGACGGATCTACCCGCCAAGTCGTGGTTGGGTCTCCAGCCTCTAGCTCCATTGATCCACGGCCAACAAGAGGGTGTGGTTGAATGGTACTGTAGAGTGCCGTGCTTTGACCGCATGACCATCCTGCGGGCACACGCTAGAAGAAAGAGGATGGGGATGGGGGTCAAAGAGTTGCGATATTCCCCGAGGTTGGCGCCCGAGCCGTGGAACATCTTGTTGGTTGCTCTTTCACCTGAGGTCTAGGTCAAGCTTAGGCACAGGGCCTGGCGCGGACAGCATCACCCAGCCACAACCTGCACGTCCAATGGCGCCATCATCAACGGGAACCTCAGAGCGAACATGGATCTGGAAGGGCTGCTTCGAGACAAGGTGGTGTCTCGTTGGACTCCGCCATTGGCGTGCGCCACAACACCTGATCATCCCCCACGACCCTCCTTCAATGTTCACGAGGCTGCTTGATACAACCTTCCGACACAACCAAGCCATCAACACGAGGTAGAAGGCCCGCGGGGCACTCAATGGTCATCCGATGATGACCTAGGCGACTGAGCGCCACGGCCCTTTCATGCTCTTGGTGCAGGTTCTGCATATCCCGCTGTACCGTACACTGGCTGAGCTGTCTGTGATGTCAGGCTGGTATAGCCTTCTGGGTATGTTGCAGGCGTGGGGTCCCATCGAGGAGGAGTTGCAGTTGGTGGGTGATGGCTCAGCGGGGTATGCAAACCGCTTGTTCCATATCCTCCGCTTCGGCTGTCGTAGGTCGAAACCGCTGGCAGGGGTGTTGTGTTGATACGCAGAGGCGGTTGCTGCGGACTGTGGTGACGAAGACCAGGGCTCAGCGTTCGAGATGCAGCTGTAGAGTATCCCGGAGCCGTAGTGTATGGTGTCCAACTAGGTTGAGAGCCTGATAGTGATCGCGGGGAAGGTATCGAGTCGTGATGCTGAGGGAGCGAGTATTGCGTATGAGCATCAGGATGAGCTGGGGCCATGCTTTGTCCAGGAGGCGTGGGTAAAGGCGCATACCCTCCGTTGGTCTGGCTCATCATGGGGGGAGGAACCGGCGTGCTGGGATTAACGCTGTACTTGCCGATAATCTTCTTGAGGGCAGACTCAAGAATTTTCCATGGGAATACCTTAACATCCTTCTCAATGTTGCGGGGCTTGGGATTGGGAAAGCCCATGATGATCTTAAAGAACTCCTCGCTATCTGGCTTAGCCTTGGAGACTGTCTGCGGATGGAAGCCTTCCAAGTTACGGCGGATACGGTTCTTCTCCTCGACACTGAAACGGTTCGGCGCTGCGACCAGTTGCTCGAGAAGGTGGATAGTGTCGACCGATGTGACATAACACTCGCCTTTTTCGGCCCACCAGATGCATGATATACAGATGCTGTTGGTTGGTCGCTCATTGACGCTTACCGATTGGCAGGTAGCGTTAACTGTAGATCCCTTTTGTGTCTTGCGGAAGAGGACAATCCGACGACGGTTGGCCCATTCCTCTGATGTCCAGTTCTCGGCCATCGATTCCAGCTTGCCTGAGATTTTCAAAACCGCCTTGCCGGAATAAAGCGAGATAGGATGGTAACTTGTGTTGTTTCCAGCATTGGCAGTGATGGTGCTGGTTCGGACAAGTTGAGGAGCGCCGTTAGAGTGAGACGGAGAAGACATTCCCAAGGGTGTCAAAGGCGGACGTCCAACCAAAGAAGTGTCCAATCCACCGGGGCCCCTCCCTGTGCTGCCCAGCGTGCTCGGATAAGGACTCCATCCAGTCGTTGGACGCCGATGGTAGTGAGGGTCCGTGAAGCTCGTGCTTCTATTGTAAGTACTAATCATGTCGCTGTTTGCTTGTGGGAATGTATTGGCATATTGTCCTTGCTGAGGTGGATATTCATAGGTATTTGTACCAGGCTCTGATGGTAGCTGAGGCTCACCTTTGGGTGAGGTACTCGGCTGATCGATCGTGGTGGCAGGTGCCGCGTCCTCATGCTTAGGCATCTTAGTCGACCTCGTGATGTCATCCCCGGACCCTTCAAGATATTGAAAAGTACCAACGGGAATGCGAGAAATTTCTTCTCCAGAAGGACCGTCGAGGACGAGTGACAATGGCACATTACTGTTTGCACAGTTTGTGACCAAAAACTGAGGCGCATCTCCACTGCAAGTGTAGATAAACCCTGACCCCTCTTGTATATCTCGAGAGACGTCTTGGGCAGAGCACTTCTCAGATCCGAACACCAAAAACCACGTTGGAATCGGTGTCGATAACGAGAACAAATCGTATTGGGACGAGAGCTTGACATAAACCTTGGTGCCAAAAATGCCCGTTGCGGGTTGGCAAGATAAAACTGTAGGGCCAGAAGGCATATACTGTGCCACAGCGGCACTATTGGATGCAAAAGATTGCTGGTTCAAGTGAGCAAATTTGTCGGATTGCTGCTGAGTCGGGTAGGTCTGTGTAGAGTACTGTTCGTAACCTGCATCTTGGTATCGGGCCACATCGTAGCCAGCTGACATTGTATTAGCAAATGTTCAGTTTGGGATCCTGTCAAAGCTGCTCTACCAGTCCTGAGGCGGCTCCAATACAGGACTTCATTGACTCCAGTCTCTCATGGGCTATCTTATCGAGCTTCGGGCATGTTAACTTACCATGCATGGAAGGCAGCTGGGCCTTGGTGTAAGTCGCCATCTCCAAGAGCCTAGGAGGGGAGTCCCCTCGTGGGTCTCCCCCGGTCTCTACTCGAGCAGCTTCTTCGTAACGAAGCGCGATCGTGTCAGGCGATTCAAGCCTGTCGTCAACTCCGACGATGATGGGCTTCTGCGGATGGTAGTCAGGCTATAGATTGTTGAAGTCAGTGTTGAGCTCCCGAAACACTATGGAGACGAGATGTTGAAAGACAGAAGAAGCCGATAAGAGGAGACAAAAGAGAAACGCTTTGCAGACTTGTGGGCGGCGTCGAAGAACAAAAGGGATCCGTTTGTCATGGGAGGGTTGGAACAAGGTCTAAGTTGCGACTCACCTCAAAAAGCTTGTAGGGAGGACACTGGAACTTGACAGTAGACATTCAAGCTGCCGTAAAGGGAGAACGATAGAAAATGGGTCTTGGTCCAGGGAGGCGAGTTAAGAATGTTGGCCAGTTGTCTTGGATAGAAGTAGTCGCGGTTGTAGTTTAAACCAGGTCTCGACGAGGTCTTATGCAGCGGGTCTGGGTCGACCAAGACAACGATCGATGTACGAGTCTTGACTCTCGGAGATTTGATCTAGCACAGGGCATGCAGCAGTATGCAGTGATGATGCCGTTGAATGCTTAGTGTTGTCGGTCAGGCTCTCCCTTGAATTGCTTTGGCGTCCTGGAGGTGGCGCTTTGAGACAGTAGAGGTGAATGGCGGAGATCCTACTGGAGAGTTGCGAGGAACTGAGAGGGGTAATTTTGATTCCAATCCAGTCCAAAGACACTTGCATTCCAAGAGGACAGGTTTCCTTGCCCTTAGTAGCAGAAGAACCTTCAGTAGAGGGAGATTGATACTCAACCTGGGGTAGTGAACTCTGACGCGGGAAGTTCAGGCTAGGGTACTCAGGTATGCGTGGCAATGTTGGTCTTGACACCTTATAGAAGAAAACAAATAAACAGATAGTGCCAGGATGGCTCGTTAACGGTGGCCGTTGAGGGGATGTTCCTGGAGACTCTATCAGGTTTGGTCGTTTGCTGTGTACTAGGAGGGATGATGGCGTGGGCTTGCCGCCTTGGTTGTTGTGCTTCAAGCAACACAGCTTCGTAGCATTAAAATATTGCGTACCTTGCAGACAAGTTTCCAATTGCGATCAACTGGGACAAACTGAGACCAAGGGTCAAAAGAAGGTCTCCAAGATTGTAATACACGTCGTTCAGCTGCAAGGGCGTACGAGGCTGTTGTTGGTCAGTTCAGCTTCAGGACATCGCTGTGTTCACGACAGATCCCCCGAGCCTATGGATCCGACTTGCTCGGATTGAAGCTAGGACGTGGAAGAGAGACAGACAGACGGGTAGATGGTTCAGTGCGGGTAAGTGACTTGACTTAGATTTGGGAATTGAAGAGCCTTGACAAACAGTGTTGGTGCAGGTGTCGGAGGCAGATGATGGAGACGAAACATGAGAGAGCATTTCTTTTGGGAAGTTGGACTTGTGCATGCAAGATATTGCCCTGCATCAAGGGGAGATAGTGATGATTCAGATGTTTTTCGAAAAGATATTGGGCCGAAGGGCGGGGAGGCAAGGAAGAAAGGGCGAAACAAAACGAGTAGTTTGAGCTTATGGAGTGATGTATCTATTCTATCCCTTCCTGACGGAAGCCAATGAAGATGGGCAACAACTTGACTAGAGGAGAAATGGAGACGAAGTACAAGGGTAAGGGAGGGAGGGAGCAACAAAAGGCGCCGTCTGGTTGCTTTTGGCCTTGGACATTGTTAAGTCGAGTCTGCGGGACCTTGTCTGGCGATCCCGCCCCCCACTCGTCTATCTTGAAAGTAGCTTTTGGAGACGAGGGAACAACCATGAACTTGCATACAGAACAAGCCTGCAGTAGTGGCAGCGCTGGTTACAATAAAGGAGCTAGGTAATGCTGGGTAGGAAACGCCGTGGTTGTGACATCTGCGGAGGCTAGCAATCTACCACCTTAGCCGTTATGCCAGATCCTCAAGTGTCTCAAAGCCTCCTGCAAGGGTGACGGCAGCGTCAACAGGTGGGGAGGGGATGTATCATGGGTTCGGGAAATGGTGGAGAAGCTCGATCTGAGTTGCTTCTGTGTGCCAGTCCTCATGAGGCATGACTTGAGATACTTGACTGGTGCTCACATATAATCCATCATGTGCTACCCCGAGAAGACCTTTGCTGTTTTAACATCTACCCACAAGCTTCCCGAGGTCTCCAGGATCCATGTTATCATGGTACGCCATGGCGGCAATAAGGGGACACCACAAACTCGTGGCAGCGTTGACGACGAACAACCTGGATACACCCCCTTTGATGAGACGTTGGGACCTTCCGTGATCTCGAGACCCAGGAAAAAAGTTAGGAAGCAGGAGATGAACGCAAGGAGACGAGACACACTAGCCTCAAAAAGAAATATGTTTTCTTGGTATTGTACATCTCAGCTGAAGCGCCGAAAATAAGAAAAGGCAAGAATTTGAGAATCCAAATTAAATAAAAGAACGGTTTGTAACGTGCCTGAACGAAGGAATGTGTGCGTAATGCGTGCGGTCGTCTATCGGGAATCCTAGGGGGTGTCGTTAGCAAGGGTCACGATGATTGGTTATGCTTCGACGAGCGAATCGATAGTGGTGTGCAAGGGTGTCGGTAGTGCATGGTGCACGGCGCAGGCGGCATCAGCTGGATATCAAGGGCCAGCCAAGATCGTTTATAAGGGGAGATGAGCGCTGTCCAGTAATAGACGTGGAACCCATGGGCCTCAAGGGAGGAAAGACTCAAGGGAGAGAAAGAGGGTCCCCTCCCAGAAAGGTGCGGTCCTAACCGTACTGGGTCCGCTCCCGTCTTCCCGTCTCCATTTGTTTTCTCCTTTGTGAACTCCTAGTTACTCGTTGAGGGGGTCATATTCCTCAATAGAACAGACCCCCAAAGTTCTTACAGCATGCGAGAACAGGATGTTGCAGCCGGCAGACCAGGGTTGATGCGGAAACAGATCAGAGCCAAACACAACTCACCTTAGAAAACAGCTTGAAAGAGAGATCTTCGGAAGCGGACCGCTGAAATTTCAATCTTTCAGATCACCGCGGAGCGAAATTGCGATGGAGCTCGCTGTTCAGCTTAGCCTCCAACAATTCTGTCCCGATGATCAGTCGCCAAAAGAGCAAAAAGTTTTGAATCAACAGACCACCACACATCAATTGACCGTATTCGCGTCAACGATCAACTTTATCGACCACCACTTCAGTCGATACCCCAAGGTGAGGATGCGCCAGGCAGACTAGGCGTGCAATCGTCAGCGAAACTGGGACGGGCTTAACTCTTGCTCGCCGAGGGTGCTGGGAGTCCGTGTCGTTGAACAAGGATTAAACTTGATCGAAATATGACCCTGGTCCGCTGGCGTAGGATGATCAGTGATCGCCTTGTCGGCACTCTTCTGAGTCAAATCTGTCAACCCATTTCAATTAGTCTCATTTTTGCTTTTTCTGCGTATGTGAACATTCTGTCAAAGCCCCTGGTTCCGATGGCGGCCTTTCATTTCTTCGTAGATTGGTACAAACCCTCATGAATTGACGCCAAATGGTCAATAATTACTGTGTAATTCTATCGCCCGGGTGGAGCAAAAGCGTGGGGCAAGGGATAAAAGGATGGGAAAGCCAAAGGGATACATGGGTCGTCGAGGTGATCATTGAAGTTTCTCACACAGGCGTCGCGGTCTCTCACAGTCCAAAGACTTTGGAGGCACACAAACGCCACTGCCGTCGACTCTTGGACGAAGCTGAGGAGCGACATGGGCCGTTGATACGAGTTATAAAGCGGGGAAGGACAATAAGAAAATAATCAAGGAGGATGGCGATGGTTAGGGTAGTGAAATCGGAAGCCCAAAAAGATCATATTGAACCATACCTCTTGAGTATAGTGGAGGTTCCAGAAAAAGGTGATAGCGCCTTTTTCTTTAACAGATACAATGGCTGACTCGGCCTTGTTTGAGAGAGATGTCAATAACTGTTGCCAAGCGCATGCCATCGGTGGCCATACCCATTCCAAGTTAACTTCCTTAATTCGGTATGCCCTGGCAAACGTAATGGGATCCTTGCCCGGCTGAATTTGATGCGGAGACTAGAGCCGGAAATATGAACTGGTGATTGAATGAACTTCTGGTATAATAGGTTTCCGCCTGTCGAGCTGTTTGTTTATTTGACCAAGGCAAGTATGCATATGAAGTCTCAAAGGGGAGTGCCACTTATCTTATACAACCTCGTCACTTGCCATCGACAAGAGCCACTGGTTTTGTGTCCCCATCATGGCAATTTACACACATATGCAAGTAATTGCCTGATACCCGCAGTAAAGAAGCGCGCAACGCTACAGGCAGGGGTGTCCTGTGCGAGCCATACGCCCGATCAATAACCTGAATCTCTGATGGGAAACAGGCGAGCCATGTAAACCAAACCCCCACGATTCAATATGCAGAACTGAGCGGCTCGAATTGTAATTGTCAGTCTCGCAACGGAGCAGGCATCTAACGGGTGTATTGTTTCTGCTCCAGTTGATAGTTGCCGGGGGGCTATTGATGTAGCATGACACTACCAGGGCTAGGTTGAACAAAAGCCTTTGAACGAACGCCACCTCGGCTCTTGAAATGTTCTCAGACATTCAACGGAAAAGCCAAGGGAATATCGCACTGGTTCTTCTGCTTGACGTTTTCCACAACTCACAGCATCAAGGTTCAGAGCTCGAGACGGTCTTGAGAAAAGGTGTGGGTGTGGGATCTACACAGGGAACCGGGGTTATCACTTCAGGGGTGCAACAGTAGCTGTAGGGATCGTCCTTGCTTGTAGCGTCTAGCTCTACTCAGACCTGCTGATTGACCAAGCGAGCAAGCAAGACTGGCCCAACTGAGTTGTGAGATCCTGCAGCATGTGCTATTGGGATGCTAGTGATAGACATGGCGCGCGGGCCGCTTGCAAGGGAACCGCCTTACAGCAGTCATAAAGTTCTTGGTGAACGACGAGAACCAATTCAAATATTGGTTCAGGGAGACCAATCATGCCTCTTCACTGTAACGACAGCCCTTTTGAGGTAACGAAGTTGGGACTTGATTAGCGTCAAATCCTCGCACCCGCTCCCCACCCCACCTTTGGGGCCCAAGAACCCGAATCTCATCGGTCAGTACCTGAGAACATGCCCTAGCAGTTCAGTGTTATGTTATAATGCTGGCTTTCAAACATCATTGTAGATGATATCGTCCGTGACTATGCTTTCCAGAACCATCTTCGGGCAGTACTTCCAGACGCAAGGCCAAAATCTCTTCGCAGCTAGGTTGACAAACCTTTAGCTTAGATTTTGACGACATGAGGCGGTTATTCGAAGCAAATCCGGGAGGGAATCGTTCAACCCGACACTCGTGGAGCCGAAGCATATCTTGTTCTCTACCCCGCCTTGTTCCTCCGGATTCCACTCCGTCACAGTGGTTGAGTGCCTTCGATGTACCAAGTCGACTCGGACGGGCGAGCTTATAGGGCAATGTGAGTTATGGCTCATGACTTCGCTTCACAGTTGTTGCACGGGGGCCTGTAAGACATCTTCAGCGACGTTTCACAGATTTGCTTGTCCCAACCCGCACTCTGAGTTACACATCCTTTAACTCCAGCATGCAAGATGAGGCTTCCTGGTCCAGGGATCGACCATCTCTATCTGATATAAGACAACACATTGGCGGGATCAGCTCCATGTGTTGAGATTTTGTCATGGTGCTCAGTTGAAACCATCCCGATGACCAGGGTTAGGCAACTCCAGCACAGCCTGTTCCAGGTCTGGGACACGTGCATGTCTCAGTGAGCTCGAGGTGAATGGGACCCGATTCGGGCCACGTGATAAGGATTGTCAAGTCTGCAGAACACTGAGTGAGTAGGGTTTATTGCTCGGATGCTTCTTTGCTTCGCCAATGATCTAATGTTCGTTCTTTGAGATTGGCGCAATGCCCTGGTACACCAGGACAGTCCAGAGTTGCTATGAGCATCAACCGAAGTGTCGGTGGAATTCGAAACAGCCAAGCGATGCATGGCTTATATGGCTATGCTTCGAGCTCGTCCAAAGCCTTTGGAGAAACAACAAATGTCTCGTCTTGTACGCTTGGTGAGGGGCATTTGAATTCGTCCTGTTTGCGGGAAGTCAGACTAGTGACAGGGCCCATGGGGGCGGTATTGCACAATGGTTGCGCATCGATCTGTTATCATTTGTTGCAGCTGCTCGGCTCAAGCCGAGGGCATCTTCAACAACCACGCAAAAGCTTGAGTAGTAAAAGCTGAGACAGGTATATAGGGGAACAAAACGTGTACCATCCCTTCTCCAGAAACTCCATGCCTTGCCATTGATACTCCTTGCCTGGAGGAAAAAGCAAATGCCAGCGTCTCTGCACTGTAAGCTCAATGTCGTACCGCTAAGTTCTTCGGAAGGAGGGCAGAAAAAGAATCCGTTGACCTGCTGATGTAAAACTGGATCAACGAATTGAGCAGGATGTGTGCATTGCAGGCGGAAAACAAGCGAGCGAGGGCTGGTGCCGATGAGGTTGGTGGTTCTCTGAGATCATGCAGGTCATGTTGCACACGCATCGCACATCGCACATTAGAGATCTGGCACTTCCCCTAACGTCGTCTCTTCCCCTCTTCCTGACCTATCGCGCGGCCTCCCTCGTTCTGGACAGCGTGGTGTGGTTGTACATGACTGCGCCTCTAGAGAAGTGCGTGCTTGTGTGTTGATCAAGCTACCAATGGGACGGCATTGTTCGCGTTGTACAACTTTGCAGGCCGATGTTGGTTCGGAAGCCCATAGAGATTTATCTTTTAATTGAGGGAGGCATGAACTGAAGCTCGGCGTTTGCTGATAAGCACAGTAAATACCTGGTGATGAAGAACCTCCACTCAAGATATGAACGTCGCAAATTAGGTCCAGTGCGGACGCGTTTGCGACTGCACATCAATTGGAGGCATTAATTATATTGACAGAAATTGTCGTGGTATTGAGGACAATTGTGAAGTTGAAGGAGGAGGTTTTTCTTCAGCGTTTGAAGTCAAGAGAAGGGAGGAGTTCGCCCTTTGGAACTAGAGTTGTGATGTTGGAAGGAGTCAGGTACTGCCGGGAGAGGAAGGTCTTTCTCCACTTTCTCCCGTTTGCATCCAAATTTCCATCTCGCCTTCTCAATTCCGGATATCAACAGAGAGTGCTACCTCATAAAATCAAGGATCGCACTGTCTTGAGATAATTCTATCGAGGTAGGTACCTAGGGAAGTAGGGATCAATCTTGAGACTGCTCCCACCCTTACAACGTTCATGTTTAAGGTTATGATTGCGGCCTTCACACAATCAATTCCGTTGTCCCAATGTGGTATTCCATCACGAAGGACTCGACCTGCTGAGGTACCTAGCACAGATGCGACAGAAGACGTTGAAGAGAGAAGGGAGCCCGTGCACTATACTTGCACTACATTTCTGCTCTTGATGTTGGGTTTGATTTATCATTGTGTCTCAGATGCTGGCCGTTGCGTCTATCCATTCATTGTAGCTCACTGATGGCCCATGAGCGAATGCTAGAGGCGTTCAGATCTTCGATCCGCTCCTGCTCAAATCTCTCACCCAAAGCCACATTGATGCAATTGGTACTCACTGCTTCAACCCCAATCAAGGTTGTACAACCTCTTGCAGCCCCTTCTTCTGAAAAGCTACCCTGGACCGATTCAAGGAAGCTGACCCCAACACCAAGCTCGTTAATTACGCGTGCGTGAGACACAATACTGTCAAAGTATTGGTTTCGCACTGCGGTCAATGGTAAATAGACACACCAGACCGCTGGTGAAACCAGTGACCCGAAATCTAGAAGTTCGATGTGATGGTACTGCAGCCAAAAGCAATAACCTTGCCCGCGGTTTTCGGTGACGGTCCAGCCCGCAACAAAGTCGGCGAAAGAAAAAGAAAAAGTAGTAAACTGAGCTACTGGACTTCCGCACCGAGAAGCGATTGGATAACCCAACTTGATCCTTTCAATCCCCGGCCATGCCCGACAACTCTATCGGTGGTACATTGGATGTACATGTAGCCTCCCGTGGAGGGGCGAAGCTGTTCAAGATCCAGATCCTAGCGCTGTCCAGAGCCCACATTAGAGCAAAATCTCGCTACTACTCCGTACCACGCACCCCTCCTAAGGCCAGTCACTCAGCAGTGTCCCATGTCGTACTGTACGACATGATGAAGCCTCCCCACGAAACGATGGAATTGAGGTTTACAGCATACATCCGAGGGGAGTGTTTCCAGTTCGGCGTTGGTGATTCAAGCTTGTTTTTAGTCATCGAGCTCTAATCGTTAGTTGACAGACTTAATTCCAATCATCCCCCTTGCCGACGAGACGCAACCAGGGTAAAGGAATACTTGTACCGAATTTCTTTCTATATCAGGAGATTGAGGGAGAAGGAACTCAATAGCTCAGCAATACAATGCCTCCTTGCAGCAGCTAACAAGGGATGAACTTACGCGACCACAGCCTCGGGAAAAGCTGTTCAGGTAGCCAGGCCCTCAGCTCCTTGTTGTCGGGTATGCAGCTGTCCGCCTTAAGGAATTGATATCTGATGTGATTTGAAGGATCTGTAGGCAACAATGATCTGACCAAGTTCCTCAGCTGGCTTGATCGCGCCAGGTTACGAACTGTGTGGTTGAGCCGACCCCTGTTGAGCTAATGGGGACCCGGCTCTTAAGCCACTGTGAACCGCGTCCATCACCCAATAGACCTCAGGCAGATGAACTGTAAAACGTCTAATGTCGCGTGGCTATCGATCGCCGGCCCCTATCGCCCCAGTCCATCTAGTAGTCATCCTGATATATCGAATATTACATATCTACAGTGCACACCTATAGTCTCTCACAATTAAGGATTCACCAAGTGAACTTCAGATTTGCTTGTGGCAAGCATGTGTCCTTCATCATAAGAATAACAAAAGCAAACAATCGCTTTCTCGGGCGTTGCGAATTGCTTCTGTAGTCTCCAAACAGGAGATTCTCCGAAATGATGTATCTTAATTGCTATCTTTGGTGCAAGGCACGATCTTGAGTTGCATCCCAACTTCAGATGAGACAAGTACAAGAGATTGCGTAGGATTGCCACCTCTTGTTTCTCGGTAATCTCGAACTGTTTCGTTGATAGTGGACACTGTAGCAGATCCGTGATCTATCTTGATTTATCCTTTTCCATGTGGTATATGAAGATGAATATGTCATGATTTTGGGAAGTGATACTTGAACTTGAACGGCCCGAAGGCAATATGTAACGTCTTCGACGGCTAGGAAAACCTTGGCATGATGAAATCCAAACGTTGAATGAATTCATCGAGTTCTAATAGGGCTCGTTGACACTGTTTTTGTATGCATGTATGCGCGCTTATTTCTATATACCTACATCTCAAACCAGGCCAGGTGATCTGATCATCAAGTCTTAATGTTCCCAGGTTCTCCAGACAACCCCGGCTCATCTGAAGCCGAGTTGCCGTGAATTTGACAATCGACATCATCTTGATGTTTTCAAAACACGTTGTGGGTGTAGACCTGGCTCTTGGATAGCTTGCCGCAGGTACAAGGCAGCAAGACGAATACGATATTCCTAAACGGTCAAGACCAATTATAAATATTTACAGTAAGGGGCTTCCTTGCACTGTAGTTGTCAACTGTTAACAAGGAGACTCCCAGTCAATGATTGGGCAGCAACAAGAAGATAGTCCAAGGTAGGTGACCATGGCTGATCCGTAATCTTTCGTCTTGGCAAGTTTGAGCAACATCATTGTATCTACTGCCTGACAGGGCGGTTAACGAAATGTTGGGGCTCTACAAGGGCAAGGATGCCATCCTTCTGAACGAACTCAATATCGTGCTTTGACAGTGCATCTTTCAGACCGACATTCAACGCGAGTCAAACGCAAATTGAACACAGACTCTTCATCCTGGATGATCGCAAGGTCAACCGCATTAGAGCGGGCGGCCTGAGCGCGCCCAGTAAGAAAATAAAAAGTAATCATGAGCCTTTAGCTCTCGAAAAAGCAAAAGCCGCAGCAAAAGAACCATGTTCATCTACATATGGTCTGCATATTAAAACCCAAGCCTATCATAGGCTTACATCCGTGTGGAGATCCCGGTAATTTCGCATGGCGTGCCGATCTCTCGCAGTTAGTCTAAGCCCGTTGTTGTCTCTTTTGTTTTAATGCCATCGCGTCGCTTACAGTATTAAAAAAAAACCCATATCACATCGGACTGTGGAGAAGAGAGAACTCCCACCGCACGCTACTGCTCTGATGGACAAGGCTGGGCTCAGGTGAGGCTTCTGAATGGTGACGGCCATGTGGTCTAGCGGAGATATTGGATGCCGCTACGCGGGACTAAGCTCCTTGGTCCGGGGCGGGAAGAGTGCATTGACGGTATTTCTCTTTTGAGGCTGCTGCATATCGTCCCCTACTGTTACTGTGCTGTACGGCGACGGAGGGGACACCGCTGGTTACGGATATAGGGGACGGGGATGAGGAAGAGAGGCCGACAGGACCGTCAATCTTGCTTGGCATCATCTATCCATGACCCGTGCTCCCCCTCCCGGTCCTGCTTTTGCTCTTGTCTTGTTTTGTCTTGCCCTGCCTTGTGGACGGCATCTGGAGTCTGGTGAGACACGGGAGTGTCAACTGGGGTATCCGCTGAGATCGGGTCTGTTATTTCGCTTCTCTAGCCTCCAGGTCATTACAACGAGTTAATTATCGTATGCCTGTCTGCGTACCAGAGAAACTAATTTCGAACAGAGTTTAGTACTGTGATGGACTCCAAACAGTCTCGATCTAACGTACAAGACCGAAGTCGTCAGATCACTGGATGGATGTGTTGCTACCCTAAGTTACTGCACGTATGGGGCGGATGCAATGCTCGATCTGCCCTGATCTACAGAACGAGGCTGCATGGCCAGACTTGCATTTCTTTGCCTGCCGAGCCTCCCAATCAGTCTACACTTCTTAAGGGGGTTACTCCAAGTCTCTCAGATCAACCCCTCGTCGAATCTTCAAACCCGGTTCCCTTCAATGTATCATGTGCATCACTCGCCATATGCAAATGAGAAGAGGATCCTCCAAGATCAAACCTCGCACACCTAACCTCAGTGTGAGACATTGCGTGCTATCGTCTGTGATTGGATTGCTCATAATGCAACGACTTCGCTCACCGCCATCTCAACAGCAGAAAGGAGGGCATCCTGTTCGTTCTATAGCCTCACACATGGAACGAAGGCAAATGCGCAATCACCAAATGGGCAGTTTTTTTTACTCTTGTTGAGGACTCTGCTTGATGCGCACATGGCTTTTCCCCTCTCTCGAGTGCGATGCAACTGCGTCTGCAGTCAACTTCCCAAACCAGAGTTACTTGCATCTGCGCTGCGGAAGACGTGGTGAACGTTGTTTTGCGAACGTCTGTTCATGAGGCATTCGATTGTTCACCGCTACAGAGTTGACGAGTCTCGACTCGACACTTAAGCAGAAGAAATGAGGCACGAAACGTAGAGCATGCTATGCAGGTGTCATGCATCTGTTACAGATTTCGAGAGCGTCATTCGTCAGTCAGCTTGCACACTTGGATGTCATGTTGAGGCTCTTTGGCGGTGTGGCTGTTTTTGTCGACGAGCATATGCTCAGGAATGTGTTTCTCAATAGTCTGACTTAGGCCTAACCTTAAGCTTGGAAACGAGAGCGAGAGCGTGAAGCTGGTGAGAATGAGAACAGCAAGAGACTGTGACTGTGGACCCGATACAGCACTATCACTGACTGTTATCGAAATTGTCTACATAGCATAAGAGAACCGTAGGGTAGTTCAAATCTCGTTGACTGATGTGTATGTCTAGTGCTTGCAGTGGAAAGGAGGCGGTGAAGTTGTGGTGTTTGGCCGCATCATGGCGAAGCTGCTGAGAAGAGGCTGTTGAAGCCGCCTACGATGTCACATAAGAGAGCTTGCAGCCGCATTAAATGAATACATAAAAACATATATGACAATCCAGCGGCATGAAAAGAACAACCTGCAGTGATCATCGAGTCTCGATGCTATTCAATGTGTCCTTCTCCGATGGTATCCTCATGAATGCTAGCTGTTAGAGATACAACCGCCAAGGGTTGTTTAGACTTACAAAATATACCCTTAGTTAACCGGAGTTAGTGTATTGATTTGTTTGAGGATATTACACCTTGAAATGTATTGTTCTTCAAGCCATTGCTACGCGTCTTTGATGAAGGCGTCACACAACAGTTTCGGGAACTGGGCAAATACGAGGTGACAGCTCCGCCAAAACATCAAGGAGGAATATATAGACCTCAGTATATATCTCAGTATCTTATGAGACTGGATTATATACGACTTGAGCATAGTTGTCACTATGGAGCTAGGTTTGTCCGACTTGCACTTGCAACAGGGTAGGTCTTGAAGAAGGACATCGTCGATATGAGCTTTGTTATGCGTATTTATTACTCTTGACAGACAAATGAAGAAAGAGATGTATTTCAAATATGATTTAAGACGTAATAGAATCAATATCGTACGTGTAAAGTTTGCCCCTTTGTTGCATGATTGCTTTCCATAAAGATAAAGTAATCCCGTAAATTAGCAAGCTTTGGTTCACAACAGACTTCACGCAACACCTTAATGGACGTGAACTAAATAGTTTACTTGAGAATACGACTCAAAGACACCGTTTGGGTCTACTGATACTAATCCTTGTGTGCTTTTACTTAAACTCTGTTGCAACCCTTACATCTATGAAGCCATGAACTAGAGCTCGAGTGAACAAGCAATGACACAGGCATGACACGAAAAAAAAAGAGATGAGAGAGCTATAACAAAAGCAAGAGGTGGTCTTGGGCTGTCCTTCAGCGGCTATAACAAAACTCAGTACCACAATCTTCCAGGTGCTGCTTCGCAGGGTCGAAGTCTTGGTCGGAGCGAAGACAAGTCCTTTTACTATTCTTAAACTAGGCGATACAGATAGTATCAACAAATGACTAGTATTAAGTTAGTCATAAGGACTGTTGCCTATGAGAGGTAGAGCTTGGTCTTGTGATGTAGCTATGAGTGAACGTCTGGTCCCCTCTTGGCCCTATTGTTTGCCTAACTTACACTGCAGCCTTTGTCGAGCAAGACTACATATTCAAGTATTTTCCTCTCTTTAATACTCAACTTATATAAGGGAGACCGCGCCTGTTAATGTTTTCCTTAATGACATGTACTTGCCGCGAACTAAGTGTGCATCACTTCAAGCTGTGAGTAGATAACCTACAAAGGCTGGGTAAATTATAAGCTCGCCTTCTTCGGTTTTGTATGCACCAGTCACTTCCAGGTTCAAGTTTGACCTTTAGCAGGTTAACAATTCTTGGTGCGTATTTTGTATTAAGTGAATGCCTTTGAGTTGCCAAATAAATATCCCGGGTTTCCTCAGAGAGTCTGAGAAGAAACATGAGACAACATACAGAAGGAAGCCCTCACACTATAACGATGACACCTCCCCTTGATCAAATAGAACCCACTAGTGTGCTAATCGGCTTTCGTGTGAATGTCCCGACTACATGCCTCGATATGCCAGCAAACAGCAAATACAGCTGGAAACGAACAGCCGCAGTAGCTTAACCACTGAATGCAACATACCTGACAACAAACAGGGCTTTATCGAAGCCGCCGCAAATCATCTGTCCCGGAAACAAGTCCCGAGCCCCTTCACCTCACTTTTTCGATCTTAGGAGAGTGCCCTACGATGAAGAGCCCAAATGATCAAAAAGGGAGCCTTCAAAGTCCTGATTATTGCCATCTGGTTGAGAAAGCGGGTAGTCTATGATGCGGAAGATATTGCAAAGTCCCTGGACTATGTGGTATGCCCAGCCACACCTGACGAGGAAACAAGACCACTTGATCCCCATATTGACGAGATCCTTATTACGGGTGGTATCCTCGCATCCGAAAATATGATACTCGCAAGTTTCGGAGGAACGAATTGCGAAATCAAGACGGTACAGATATCACCACTTATCAATGACAAGCGAGAGCTCTTGCATGCGATGATGCCTACAGAAGTTGAACTGAAATACGATAACGGGAAAGTTGAAATTACTGAAAGGTTGGCGTCCGAGCTATTTCACCATACCGGAGTTCTGGATGATGGGCAGTTCTGCGTTCTTGTGCTGGCAATTTGTGGATGTTCCGTCAGAGCCAGGATAACAGAGGATGGCGTAGTAATCAAGACTAGTGAGATAACTAATAGACCATGGGTAGTCTTTCGTAACGGCAAACAAGAGTACCATTTCCAACTAGAGGATGGATTGATGTAACATCATCCGACACAGTGTTGGTGAACACTTAGAGAAGATGGAATAATGACGAACAGATCGGATGACGATGGCTGACTGTATAGATGGGAGAAGGATTGTGTCACATATAAACAGGGGATGAATTGTAGCTGGCATATTTATTGTGGCATGGGGACTGTTGTGTAGGTATTGTCGCAATTGATGTCGAGCCAAGATAACTCATGGATCATTGATTAACACTGTGGTATGCTCCATCGAGACTGATATTTTGATAAATGGAGACCATTGCATTCATTCTCGACCACTGCATGAATGCTACTATCTGATAAGTCATTTAGATCCTGGTCGCTTTGGAGGGGGCAGCTCAGCGCCATGTCAGGATCGATATCCTGAACCATGCCAATCATTGGGGGAATAAAGATGTCACCAGCTTCAGAAATATAAGAACGTCTAGCTACGGCTATAATGTAGTTTCGACACTGGTAAACGCACTTCTTCTTCACATGAAACCCTTCAGTGGAAGGGTGCTAAGGTAGCTTCTTGGAACTCCATTGTATCTGGCATGTAATTGTCAAATGAGATGAACACTTTCATAATACGTTGTCCGCATATTCAAGCTTTTGATATCCTTTGCGAATCTGGTGTCAAGATTCATGAGTTTCTACCTTGTCGCTGATATTCACTAGACGCTTGTGAAGTCACTTATCCAACTCCTCCAAATATATTAACCTTGGAAGGCTCGTTTGTCTGGACAAATTTCTTTTCATTGACCTGTTACTTGTAAACAAAATCACGTGATTGTGTCATTACGTCTTGAAGAGTCACCTGAGCTGTGTGAATTCTCCTAACCAAACATATGAAGTTCTCTATCCTCCCTCGTAAACGAGAACTTGGAGAAGATTGGCACCCAGAACCGAAGCCAAAGCAATAGGCTCATTTCTTCAATATGAACTATCCGCGCAAATTACCAGAGGCCGTAGATGCACTGATAGGGTTTCGTGTAGAATGCCACGACAAAAATTGTGGCTTTGCTAGCCAACACTCCATAGACTTCAGCAGCATTCGACCTCGTTGTTACATATCTGACGACGACTTCTGGCAGGCCGCCGAGGACCATCTATCTTGGAAGCATATTAGAACACCGTTCGTCTCGTTCTTCAGATCATGGGAGAGGGCTCTGAATTGGAGGAAACGCCTCATCGAAAGAGGGGGCAGGGGAATCATCATTATTGCGGTTTGGTTGAAAGACTTGTCTGAAGTCTACGATGCATACAATATCGCACAACGACTTTTAGGCCGTAAAGACCTAAACTCAAGCAGTCGTCTGCGACGGAACCTTGATTGTTTTCGCGGAGAACTGCTCGTTCAAGGTGGCATCGACTACATGGAACACAGAATCCTGGCCTGCTTCGAGGGCGACAGCCTCGAGATCGAAAGACGATCCATATCGCCACTGATCAAATTTCCTGAGCGGAGTCTTGTTGTATCTATTCCCAGAGGAACTCTGCCGACATACGGCAATTCTAATCTGAGCATCACCCAGCAATTGGAGTACGAAATGTTGAGCCTCACGGGGGTTCGAAACGATGCCAAGCTGTGCGTACTGGTACTCGCAATGTGCGAGTGCGAAATGGAAATGAAGGAGGAAAACAAGAAGATGACGATAAAGACCACCGAGTACTGCGTAAACTACTTGTCGAAATTTGTATTTAGCAGTTGTAACTACTATTTCGACGTTTATTGTCAGTCATGTTGGTGGCACTCGTATCTGGACGCAATGCAGCATGGTATCTCGAAAGCCATTAGATAGTCAAGCTGAGAGGGTTGAGTAATTGTGAATGTAACCGGCTCGCTTAGAGAAAGATCATACCACCTGTTGCGAGGCAAATGAATACAGCCGATATCTCCCTTGTGCATAGTGATATATCGCTCATGGATGTAACGATGCAACTCAAGAGAAACTAAGACTGCTCGTGAATGTTTAAGATACATCATGATATGTTTCCACTTATTCAATACGTACATTCTCATATGTTTCAACTCATACAGCCGACCCCAACTTAATATCATGAACTCTGCCATCCAGGTCTTGCCAGGTTACTTGGTGATGCAGCTCAGTGCCGTGTCAGCACTGAAACCCTGAACCTCGCCAATGAGCTAGATAATTACACACTTAATGATTGGCTGATCAAAGACTCATCTAACTCGGCATTACACCTCCGATGCAGCAATAAAGTTAAAGAGTGGGTTGTTGACATGTTCATTCTGTCATGTCATGGCCGGTTAAAAGCCGCATTCAGTGGAACTGAGGATCCCCCACCTTGAAGGACATTCACATGCTCAACGTCTAGACTTATCTTTGCATTGTGCTGTTGTGTGAGGTGCCTTTTTGGCCACTAGGTACGAGATGGGTGATTAGGGATGAAACGAAGGCCAATTGGAGTGATTGAGTTGACATCATGATACATGATATGATGGAGGGGATATTGCTCATGATGTGCAACCCCGGCAGTCATCTTCACCTAGCAAGAGACCCCCACACACTCACCTATCAAAAACACGCGTCTACAGTAGGTAATACTCGGCATTGCATTCTGTTGGCCAGCATCGGCCGCTTTGCTCCGTCATGATATCAACGGGTTACTTTTACCCCTCACCTGCGGGCATAAAAAGGTCAAGGTCGTTCCATTCTCAACTCTTCTTCTTTTCCTCTTCATCAATTCATCGACTCGACATAAAACACTTGAAGAATATCCAAGGTTTGTATCTGAATTGTATGAAAGGGCTGCTCTGACACATATGATATGCTAGATATCATAACCTGTACGGCTCTCCTAAGCTACCTTAGCAGCCATGGAGCCTTTCAGCTGTAGTCTTGTCCAGACCTGATTGGGACCTCTCAGGTAAAGTATCATGCATGAGCCGGTGCCCATTCTTCTCTCATCAGCATGGTCAGTTCAAACTGGTCGTGTTGATGATAGGGGATGTGGCTGAGATTATACGGCAAAACTTGATCTGGATAATACCAGCGAAAGGATCATGTCATCTCCCCTATTGACCACTAGACTCTAACAACAACAGGCCCAAGATCAAAATGGCCCCTCCCGCTGCTGTCTCCCCTCCCTCTCGCTCTGCAGAGCTTGCTACATCTACCAAGCTCCCAGTCATGAGCAAGAACATCAACACCAAGACCGTTGAGGAGATGCTCGGTCAGTGGGATGATTTCAAGTTTGCTCCCATCCGCGAGAGCCAGGTCTCCCGCGCCATGACTCGCCGCTACTTCCAGGACCTTGATAACTATGCCGAGTCTGACATTGTTATCATCGGTGCTGGTTCGTGCGGTCTGAGCGCCGCGTACATTCTTGGCAAGAAGCGTCCTGATCTCAAGATCGCCATCATTGAGGCTTCTGTGTCTCCTGGTGGTGGTGCTTGGCTTGGTGGACAGCTCTTCTCCGCCATGATCATGCGCAAGCCTGCTGATGCTTTCCTCCGCGAGGTCGGTGTGCCTTATGAAGATGAGGGTAACTACGTCGTTGTCAAGCACGCCGCCCTCTTCACCTCGACCATCATGTCCAAGGTTCTTCAGATGCCCAACATCAAGCTCTTCAATGCCACTTGTGTTGAGGATCTCATCACCCGACCTTCCGAGGAGGGAGTCCGCATTGCCGGTGTTGTCACCAACTGGACTCTTGTTTCCATGCACCACGATGACCAGTCTTGCATGGACCCCAACACTATTAACGCTCCTTTGATCATCTCCACCACCGGCCACGATGGCCCGATGGGAGCTTTCTGTGTCAAGCGCCTTGTCAGCATGCAGCGCATTGAGAAGCTCGGTGGTATGCGTGGTCTTGACATGAACCTCGCCGAGGATGCCATTGTCAAGGGAACCCGCGAGATTGTTCCTGGTCTTATTGTTGGTGGCATGGAACTTTCCGAGGTTGACGGTGCCAACCGCATGGGTGAGTTCTATATGTCAATTCTGGTATGTGCTTTGTATAACATATATTAGGTCCTACCTTCGGTGCCATGGCTCTCAGTGGTCTCAAGGCTGCCGAGGAAGCTCTCAAGATCTTCGACACTCGCAAGAAGCAGAACGATCTGTAAGCGAGATCATCAAAGAAGGTCATAGTTGGGAAACGGAACATGTGAATTCAGGATCCTGGACCTCGTCTCTCATTCGAGGCATGGAACCTTGTCATTCATTTAGTCTGAGCGACTCAAGTTTGGAGAACATGAACCCAAAGTCGGATGTCACTCGAAAGAGACGCCAAATAAAGCAATACTAAATTGAATAATTGCCTGCGATGTCATTAATCTCGCTGTCGTGATTTCATCCTTCCTTCCACGGCCAATAACGTCACTTCTTATCCTCTACCACCTCTGTCACCTCGGTAGTGTCCTTGGCTTCATTCTCCCTTGTAGGAGGGAACTTCATTCCTCTGTTCTTATCATTCGGATGTGCACTCGGTCCCCAGCCTCCAAGGCCGTCGGCCATGGCAACTCCTCCAAGTCCAGAAATCGGTCCAGCTGTTACGCTACCCGCGAGTTGATTCTTTCCGACGCCGGGTTGAGTATCAGCCCATGTGCTGAGCTCATCGCGAGTCTTGCCCGTGTACTTTAGTATATCTTCATCGCTGAGTGGTACACTCTTTTTGCCGGCTTGGAAGCGCTCATAAAGCGTCTTCTTGTCCTTGGCTTCTTCGGAGGGATTTGACGAGGAAGACGAAGAGTTGCCCATGATGGTGTTTTTGATAAAGAGGCTTCTAATTTTGTTTGAGATTATGTTCTTTGCAGTGAAGATGACTTGCTGTGGGGTAGTAAAGATGGTAACTTCTTGGCAGGTGAGCTTCTAGAACATCCATATTTATAGAATTGCTGGGGCGATTGGAAGCTGAATGCCTAGCGTCACGAGGCGCACAGCGTATTCATACAAGCAGGGCGATTGATTGACACCCTCAACCCATACAGATCCTTGCTTGTCATTTCGTATTCCCGATCTGGTTTGCGAATATCTGCAGGGCGTACAAGATCAAGGCAGAGCATTGCCATCGAGTTATCCTATCCTAATTCAGCAAAGCTTCGCCTCGATCCTTCATCCTTCATATCTAGGCCGCAGGACTGGTGTCAATGCACACCAACACACTCTAGCCGAGTCAATAGGACTACTAACGACCGTAATCCTAAACGATAAAAGTATTAGGTAAAGAATCCTAAGCTTAGGGGCTCTTTAGTGAGTTTCTTCTAGCATCTGCTTGCAAAGTCTGAAGTTTTGCTCCCCGGGGACTCTTCAACATTGCAACGCTTACAGGAGCAACTGTTTCACGGGGAAGATTCCTGATCGTTTGCAATTTGGTACTGAATACACCTGGATTATATCTTGAACATCTCACGACAACAAATTCGCCGAATCTCGTCTGCCACTAGGAATTCCCCAAATACTGAGATCCCATACACGTGAGACTCTACTTCAGAGATACTCCTTCTTACCAACCCTCTCACAAACCTCCTTCAACACACCACCCAACCACTTATAATCCTCAATCTCCAAATAAACCTGCGCACTCGTCCTGATCCAAAACCTTCCCCCATGTAGAAACAGCGCCACAAACGTCTTGTAATCGCCAATAAGCGTATTCAGAATCCACTGGAACGCCGTCTGCGTCTCCTCCGCTGAGACGACAACCTCACCCTCCTTACCCTCCACAGTCCAAACGGGCAACGCAATGTTAGCCATACCGCAATTTCGCAGCGTGCCAGTGCTGTTCTCCATATATGTCGTGCCTAATTTCTCAGCCACTAGCTCACTGCCTTTCTTGTTCAAGTCCCAGATATACTCCAAGATCGCATCTTCTCCGCCGAGAGCTTCCTCTCGCCATTTGATAGCGTCTTTTACGCAAAGATAGGGCGAGTTATCAAGCGTGCCGACGAACTCAAAGTTTATGACGAATGGAGATTTGGAGCTGGGAGGTAGCGGTGTAATGCGGTTCGCCAGCTTGGGCACGTAACCGTGGCTGGTAGCGAGTGTCGTTTGAATAAGTGCCTGGTTGCGCTGAGGCACGTAGAAGACGGCGCATCCACGTGGTACGTGAAGCCACTTGTGACAGTTTGACACGAAGAAGTCTGGATCAGCTGCGGAGAGGTCCAACTTCACCATTCCAACGCCTTGAGCGCCATCAACCATGCTCAGCACGTTGAGACGACGGCAAGTCTTGACCATTTCTTCCCAAGGGAAGACAACGCCTGGTCGAGAGGAGACAACGTCAAACGTACAAATACGAACACGCTTTCCCTCAGACTCGATCTTCTTGACGGCATCTTCAAACTTCTTGATGATCTCGTCGTCGTCGAGTGGATATGGGAGCTCGATCTCATGATGAGTCACCTTTTCGTTATAGTAGTCAACATAATAATCTGCGACCTTACCACAAGCTTCGTAGATGGTCGAGAAGCTGATGATGACGTCCTTTCCGTCTTCATTCCACTTCATGTTTCGATAGACTGTGTTAACACCAGTAGTGGCGTTTGAGACAAACACAACACTGTCCACTGGGGCATTGAGAAGCTTTGCGACAGCAGCGCGGTTCTCATCGAGGATTTTTGGATATTCATAGCGAATGAATGGGTCAGGGCGAGCTTCACTAATAATTATTAGACCAAAGATCACAATCAGAGGTTCGAGTGTATTTACCTCGCATCCTGATACTCGCGGAATTTTGTTCGGACAGCCTGAGGATATGTACCGAAGGAACCTATAACTCCTGTCAGTTGAGGTCTTACTCCCACTTGGACTCTTTCATACCATGGTTAAGATTTCTCCATTCTGGATCAAACATAAATTCCTTCTTGATAGCGCTTCCAAAGACTGAGGTGTTAGTCTTGCCCCGCACAGGAAGCTGCGAAGATCCTTGACCAATAGAACCCATGACGATGTGTGTCTTGTATAGTTAGAAGCTAGACAATGGTTGTATATTCATCCCATTGGACGTTGTCTATGATGGGTTTGACACGACAACTTATAGATTCTCAGCTCATGGTATCATGAGTCAAATGATACTGTCTAGTACGAGCTGAATACCCCACATCTTCAAAGTCAACGACGCCCTTAGTCGCCAGACCCGAGGACCAGCCCCGTGGGTACCCGCATCAGGGCGTGATAAGGCGCTCTTCGGCGAGCAACAGGAGTCATTGGCAATGCTCAACGCCAGTAAAACGAGATACCCAGAGCTGGGGGAGGGTCTCCAATTCTTCAAGAGTCACCTTGGCATGCGCCGATCGCGGAGAAGAATTAATCAGCATGTGAGCCTTGGAAAAAGAAATTCAACTTTCATTCAATCAATTGAAGTGTAATGCTACTTGGCTTATCCGCCATCCCGAACGCCTTGTCATAAATGCTCCGAGGGATCTGGGCCCTGATGTTCTCGCTAACCTGCGACTCTTTGTATGTGAACTTTGCAATCGTCCGTCATAAGCCAACAACCCCTGCCCTAAGTGCTCGTAGGCGTGCCAGACCTGTGAATCAACCTTGCCGACTTGCGTATCCCGACGCCAGTACACGGCGGTATGGCGAACTCTTTGGTGATGACTGGACGTGCGTCGCCCTGGCTCAGCGCAGATAGCGCCAAAGCTGCATCCGCCTCCCTCTGTGAGCGAACATGCTTCATGACAAGGTTGCACCGGTCATGTGAAGATACCAATAGTCCATGCGACATCTCTGGTGGCAGCATAGGCGCCGGACTTGCAGCGAGATCCTGGCCGCGCAAGAAAGATGCCTGGCTACGTCGGATATGTGTCTGCTTTCGCGTGTTATGCGAAACAGGCATTAACGGTTCCGTATGATGCATCACCGGTGAGATGGATTGCAATTGCCCAGTTTCTGTGTATGGTTCCGGGGTATCTGGAGGGAGTTCCATTGTTGGCAGTCGGTCGAAAGGTATGATATCGCGGGGATCTGATGGCTGAGGCCTCAACGGAGCCAGTCGGAGTGAACCTAGTGTTCGCTTGGAGGGAAGGGACACTTCCTCGCCATCAATCTTCTTGCGCTTGCGCTCTCGTGCTCTCGACTTGACTAGACTGGCTATCGAGCTTCCGTGGAGAAGCACCCTTTCATGTGTAATGATTTCATTCGAAGGCGCCATCTCATCGCCTAAGAGGTGCGCTCTTGTCTCGGTACTTCGCAGAGTTCGCCCATGATTGGGATTGAGTGTCGAGGGAGGCATGCTGGATCGCTCTAGAACACCTGGTGCAGATTTGCGCGACCGTTGGGCTCTAGTTCTGACTCGATCAGGTTTGCTTTGGGGTGTCTTCAGAGGCGTGTGGGCAGGTGGGAGCGTCTCTGTTGTTGTGACAATGGCTGGCGGCGTAAAGACTGGCGATTCTAGAAGATCGTGGCCCGTTATTCTGTGCAGCTCTTTTACTATTCTCGAGCTCCAATATGCCCCTGTAGCCTTTGTATCACGGAGGGCAACTGGGTAAGCTGCAACAGGGCGTTTCGTCTCGGTCTTTTCGGCGTCCTCAGCAACACCACTAGACTCCCGCTTCTTCTTAAGTTTGGGAGGCTCGGGCGTTTGCCATAGCTTGGGGATTTTGTCTTGTAAATCAGATACCCAGGCGTCGCAGTCCCACTCAACCCAATAGTCAATAACGTCACCCCATGAGCTCTCTGGGGGCTTGGTGTAGTTAACGAAGACAACTTTACCACCTTTTGCGTGAACTGCTTTGGCGAATTCCCTGACCATAACCTTCAGTCCATGGACTCGCAAACTAGTACCAAGGATTAATAGAAGGTCAGGGCATAGAGCTAAGTCGTGTGTAACAATGGGGCTGATCAGGTGCGCGTTGGGATGTTCCTCGCCGTAGAGCACAATGTCGGGCCTTAATTTTCCGACGCCCAATGCTCGCTTGCCGCGTTCTTCTCGAGCAACCGTAGCGCCTACACAGTGAGGGCATTCAGGCTGCTGGCCTGACATTGTCTCTAGCTGGCGTTCGTCGTCATCCCACGAGCACACTCGACCGCACAAGAAACATCGTAGAAGCTCTAATGATCCGTGGAGGAAAACACATTCCACGCCTGACTTTGGAAGGTCGCGGCGCAGATTTCTTACTGCGGTCAGGGCTTCATCTGTCGCACATTGGTCGGATTCCGCTTGAGAAGCAGGCACCGTGCTTTCAAATTTCGGCTGACTGCATTGAGACTGCTGGCTAGCTTCGTTATCCGACGACTGCTGAGACTTGTCTGAAGAATTTGTGTCCGTCATGGCATTTACCTCGTCAACCATCCTGTTGAGCTGGTTTATGTTGGCTGTCGACTTTCTTGAAAAGCGCCCACGGCTTCCAGGGCCATCGTGGAGGCATGTCGATAGTCCAACCTTTTCTTCGATCTGATCAATATTTTGAGTGTAGCAGCGCACGAGCTTGCCACGGTCTCTCAAATGACTGATGAAACGATGTGAGCTTGTAGGTTCCACATCCCTAACCTTCTGGCGTAGCGTGGTCGCGAATGTGTAGAAAACAGATGTTCGGAGAGGATCTGACCATATTGACGCGTCAAACATATCCTTTCCTTTCATATTAGGCAAAGTATTCTTGCCAGAGCCAAAACTTGCTTGCGATAAGTTGATTGGATTTGAGGGCGGGGTATCGTCGACTTCTGATGGCGATGTGCTGCTGCGCCGACTTGGGGCGTCTTCTGAGGATGTACCGGAAGAGAATGGGTCAAACAAGACGGGAGGAGGTGATGATAGAGGTGAAGAGCTTGGTGGAATTGTAGAATTGGTCAAGTGACTGCGTCGCGTCCTCCGGAAGACTGACGGTGGTGGAATATTTAGACCCTCGGGCGGAGGCGAAGACAGAGGAGAACTCGGAGGCTGGGCCACAGCTATTGTTGAGCGGGTCGTCCTGGGATTTACCACGGGCATCCCATCTGAGCGGACTTGCTGCTCTTCATCGTCTGGGTGGCCTTCGACCTGAATTGTGTCTGCGATCTTTTCGTGATCCGGTTCGGGATCTTCCAGCTGAACTTCTATTTCTTCCTTCATACCGACCGGGCACTCCTCAACCTTGGCAGACACATCGTGAACTATTCTTCTCCTCTTGGCTGGCCGGCGAATGTCCAAGTCGGTGGGTTTATCATCGCTCGAGCCTTCGTTCAGACGCGCCTGTTGCGCTGCCGCGTCGAATTGAGCGCTGATTAGGGAGTAGAGACCGTTTTCAGAACGAAAGTCCTAGTCCGATTAGCTATTACCGACAATTGAGTGTATCAAGAAGTCACTCCAAAGCGCATCTGGCAAGCGCTGGAGTGTCTGAGAGAGCTCACAGGAATGCCCGAATTTGTACTGATCCCAGCACCGGTTACTACGATGACCTTGCGGGCTTTTAGTAGGCCATTGGCGATGTCTTGTAGTTCGTCCTGGGAGTCTCTGGAGACGTGGATAGTTGGCATTGTGGGCAATGTGAACAGAGAAAGTCGGCCGCGTCGCGATACAATTGCAGGCGGGTCTAAGCCGCGATCGCGTGAAGCCGACGACGAGATTCACAGGAGAAGCTTATATCAGAGAGGTTCGAGAGAAGCTTGTCGTCATTATGGTACGGGTACGGTTGTTTCGTCGGGGACGTGATTGTCTGTGAGGTTATTTGTGGTGTGAGGTTCAAGTTCACTTAGTAAGGTTGTGGCGGGCAAGCGACTTGGAGTTAAAGAGGTCCAGAGCTGGGGTCGCGACCGGGAGGGGACCGCGCCGAAGTCGAGTGATCGTCAATGGCCGGTATAAGCAACGATAACAACAAGACTACTACGAGTCAACTTGAACCCGAACCGTGCCTTTTTGTGCTGCTTATTCAACCCGCAAGTGCCAGAGCAGAGAAATAAATATCCAGAAAAATGCCAGAACGCGGGCCGAGGACTTTGCGTCCAAGTCCCTGTTAATTGTGACGCGCTCTTCCAGAAGGCTGGGCTGAGGGACCTATCGATGGGTCTTTAGTTCAAGGGCCCTAGGGAACTGCTGACGGCAGGCGCGGGAATGCCGCTAGACCGCTGAACTGCCCATCACACGGCAGTGGTTCCACTGATCCAAACATGGTCAACTTGATTGACAGTGAGCTTCGAAAAACACGCGACAAGATCGATCAAAGCACCTAACGCAAGCACCCAACTTTTACCTAAACTGAGCTATTAATTCTATATTTTATTTATTTCACCTTTTTTTTTTTCTTTTTCTAAAAAAAAAATACACCATTTATAATCGAAAACGGACAATTTATCTCCCTTCAGATATCGACCAACACGTCAAACAGCTTCTGGAAATCAGATGGAACCCCTAGGCCTGTGATCGCATCCCAACCCTTTGCTGCCGGCCAGCCTCCTAGGCTGCCACCCTTTCTGAAATCGCACGATCGGCTCTCTCCATTGGTAACATCCTGAAGAGCTGCTTGCACTTCTTCCGAATATAGGACTTCATTAAGCCAGCCCAGCACTTCTTTGCCTTTTCGGACACGTGCGTCGTTAACTAGCGCAAGCATAGCTGCAACGACAGGCGCACTTGCGCTGGTGCCTCTAAGACCAACTGCCTGTCCTTTCAAGCGAGTGATGAAACTGGTGGCCGAAATAGAAATGTCAGGTACTCCTCGGTTGCTGGCGTTATAATGGCCGTTGAGATGGCCATCAAGAGCCTTGACATAGCTCTTGATGGAAGAATCCTGCCACTTCTCGCGAGGGAAGTACTGAGAGAAACCGCCTCCACTAAACTCAGCACCTTCAAAGGGTTCTACCCCAGAAGTGACGCCGCCAACGCTTGTGACCCATGGGCAAGTTGCGGGGAATACAGACATGGTAACGTCCTTGTCGCTACCGTCATTGGTTCGACAGGTTGAGTTGCTTGCTCCCTTTGCACCTCCATCACCAGAAGCTGCCACGATGGTTGTACCACGTGCTGTCAGAAGACCGAACAAGGAGCAAACACGCTCGGCGTACTTGCGGGGAACTGAGACTTCGTTATCGCCATAAGAGATGGAGAGGACATGAGGGATCTCGTCATCAGAGAGATCAAGAAGGTAATCGAGGAATTCGAGATAGGGTTCATTGTCGTTGT